GACTTGAGCAAGGTTTCTTCAAATCTGAAATAGTAATCCAGAGACTGAGAGGTTTTTTTAGTGTGCGTGGAAAAACACCTGTTGTTCTCCCTCTTCCCAGAGCACATGAGTAAATAGCCAGTAGGAAAAGACCATCCATATTCTTTTAACACATTTGTCATCTTGTAGTAAAAAACTTAGTCGCATTTATAACACTTACTAATCAGCTTTTTTGATCTCTTTTCATATGACCTGTTTTAAAGTACACCACACAAGCAATGCAGTGCTGAAATTTACCTGAGGACTTGTCCAAAACATAATCACTAGCCAAACAGAAATGTTCTTGCTAGGATCATTATTTGAAAACTGTTGCACAGTGGGAGTAGGGAAAAAAAGCAAAGTGAAAAGGATTGCATTTTCTTTCCATTGGACGGATGATACCATGTCAGGAAACTTCATCCTAGTGTAAAAGTCCATACAAATGACCTCCATTTAGGAGATGAGAATATCATTTGCCCTCATACCTGGGGTTGGATGGAGAGACAAAACTGACTGGCATTTCCAACCCAGAATACATACTGTGTTTGCAAGCGAAGATGCTTGAACATGAAAGGAGATGATAGCTTTGTCAAGTGATTATACTACTGAAGTAATCTTCTGTTAGACTTTTGACCCGTCCTTTGGCTTTAGGCTAAATTATTTCTTGAACAACTTGGCAGAAATTGGTGGAGAGTGGGAGGAAGGGGAAATAAGAAAAGGGAAGCTCTTCCAGTGCCTTGCCACTTACCTTCAGAAACACATTCCTGTGTGCCAAAAACTGACAGGGTGGCTTGGGGTGGGCAAATACCCTGAAGCCTGGGAGGGGAGGCCAGATGGAGTGATGGAAGAGAGTGGTCTGGTTTAGCTCTCTCTTCTGACCTTCATTCTGGTGATCATCCACAGCATCTTAGATCTTGGCACAGCTCACTTGACTGGCTATTCCAAGGGTGCTGTCCTTGTCCAGAGCAGTGGAATAAGATTCATGACCTCCTTTAGATCTCTACCCATGAAGTGTGGATGAAAATCTGACTTCATCATCTTATACAGATCATCTCAGTTTTCTGTGCTGCTCAGACTTCTGTTTACCTAACTAGCATGTTTGCTGAAAGTTTCTTTGCAAACACTGTGGGTTTTCTTTCCTCTGCGTTCTTGATTTTTTTTTTTTTTCATGCTTTCTTCAAACAGCTGTCATGGGCTGCTTTGATTTTTGTTTTTATAATAACTGCAAGTCACAACAAAGTATCTAGTTCTCCTTATCACAGAGGAACATTCTAAATATAAATTTGTAAGCGATCAAAATTCAGAAAGAAAAAAGACTTGATCTTGGTGAGACCTGATTCATAACTCCTCAGTGCTTTGGGGTTGGCAGCCCTGTAAGTTGGGAACTGTTTTGCAAGCCATTTAAACTCCAGCTTTGATTACAGTGATTAGTTTGGCCAGAAAAAAAGGAAGATATTTTCCATCTCTTCCTGTGGGAAGCTTCAGAACAACATTTAGCTGCCAGATGGTCTTTCAAGAGCAGTCTCAGATTTGAAATGTATGCATGCTTAACCTCTAGTTCTTTGCCCAGATGACTGCAAACTTAACTTCCAGCTGGGCTGCCCCCCTTTCCAACGGCTGAACTGTTGTTCTCTCTTTGTTTGCTTATGTTGGAGGCTGTTAATGCTCAAGAATTAATGATGGCAGAGGAGGACAAGAAAATTACTACCGATTTGTAACACAGCCTTGATAATGTAGTTTGGCTGAGCATACTTCTAGGTCCTGGAGACTGGATCTCTTTGAAGGACAAAATATTCTTCCTCCTTCCCTCATCAAGTATTTGAAGATGGATTTATTTTCTTCTGGGAAAGACTTGCTCTTAAACCTGCTGTTTCCAAACAAGCAGCAAAAAGCTAAATCTAAGACTTCTTTTCTTTATGCCATGGCTTGACCCTGCTGACCTACTGTTTTTACCAAGATGTCTTCTCTTCTGCCAAAGCTGGTTAAGGGAAGGGACAGCAGAGACCTGTCTTGCTATAGGTGATCCCATTTTGATGGAAAGGAGAGATGTTGTCAGTTACCTACAATTGTATCTTCACAATGATCTGTGTGAAGTGCATAGCATTGGTGTAATATCTTAAGGCTCTAGCATTTCATGGCTTTCAGAGTTTTGAGATTGGAAACTGTGTTGGCACATGCCCCTTATCATGAAGCAATGCTGAACAAACTCTGGGGTCACAGATTCTGCACAGTAGCACAGTTTCAGTATTAACAGCAGTGACATTAATGTGGATTCATATTTAACCATGCACAGAGCAGTGATTGGTGATCACCTTCCAACTTAATATGAAGAGATCTTGAAGACAAACTGCAGAGTATGGGTATGTTTTTTTTTTTGTGAGGACCTTGATACAGATGTTGCTTTTAATCCATATTTTACTTTCCTCTATAATAATTCTCTTTGGTCCCATGAAATGGCCCCTATATTCTTGACCTGTCATCTGTAAATAGGAGGAAAGGAGTCCTACTTGGACCGAAGCCCATCACTAGTATTCCTTCCTAGGTGGTAGCCAGAGCTATGGGAGAAACTGACTTCTTAGTGTTCTGCAAGTAGAATTTGAATAGCACAAGCGAGAACCCATTTAGAAGACACACATTTGTGAAAGGCACTCTAGAGTTCTTCTCCAGCTCTGTCTTTGCTTTCTGCACCTTGTTCACCAGGAGAATGCTGAGGACAAAACATTGGAGATGATGTACAGGAGAGGAATATGGGAGCCTGTTCCCTCCCTCCACAAATACAAATACATCCCTCCTCTCTGTCATACAGGACGTTGGCAGACATGGGGATGATAATCGAGCTGAGCTCACCTCCTTTGTTAGCTAGAAGTTGATCCCTTTCCTGATCATAAGATCCTGTGCCCTTTTCTTTGTTCTGGCACCTCCTGAAAAGCATACTCAGCAAAAATGAAAGGGAATATTTACAACCAGTTTAGTCATCTGACTAGGTCACTAGGGGAGCAGGGCCTAGCAGAGGTTCTGCAGAGAGAAATGGGTAGGACTGTCTTTCTTGGCAGCCATAAGCTATTGCCTCAACTAATCTGTCAAGTCTAACTTCTCCTTCAACCTTGCTAACGGCTGCAGCCACGAGATTTATCAAATGAATGTTATTTATCTGCATTTTATGAAAAACAGTTCCTTACTGTGTACCAGATGAGTTACAGGTGCTTAAAAATGCTCTAGGTAGTAATACCTCTATTCACAAGACCAAGTAAGCAGTTTTCACACGTGAAAACTGAGCATCTCTTTTATTGATATGCCCACACAGATACTGATCCAGAATAGCTGTTACTAGCAGCTTCTTTGCTATTTCTGCACTGTCTTGTTTTTGTGTTTTAAGCACACCTGTGCTTATATCTAGGCCATAAAGTAGATTTTCAGGTTAATGGCGAGTTTGGGCCAGTGTTGACAGATCACAGTTTTTGTTACTGCTTTTGTTTGTACAACACTCAAGTACATAGAGGCTTTCACAGCTGGTCAAGAGAGAACAGCAGTGTTCATTTTGTATTCTGTGGGTAGTACTGTAAAGTGGTTAGAATTAAACACGAGAGCCAGTAAGGTTACAGGCAAAGAAAAAAATGTAATACATAACGTCAAATATTTCTCTACAGAGGATGTTACTTGATGAGTCAGAGGCTTCAATGTCATGTTCCTTGTGTTGAGTGACTCTCGTTCCAGGTAGCTCTGGACTGTTGAAAGATCAGCTAATAAAAGGTGCTTTGGTTAAGGTGACTCCAACATTATTCATGTTTAAAAATAAATAAATGACTACAAATAGCAGCGGTATTAGACAAGATGGAGTGCATATTCTTCTATCCATTGCAAGAACCTGTTAGCATGAAAAACAGTGTTTTGACGACCTAGAAAGACTAAATTCAACTTCATGGTGAGCCAACAGAAATTAGTAGGTTTTTGATAGATTATATTTTTCACTTGTGGTTAAGCAGTTTCTTTCACAGCATCATTGCTTATATTTTGCCTGTACATAGAAGTTCCCAGCATGGATCACGGTCCTGTTGTACCAGGTATAAAAAAAACAGGTAAGAACAGTCAAGAACTTCAGTCTTGTGTTTCTAGGCTACCTTTTCATGGTCCTGACAACCACAGCCTTGTGGCAAGTTTTCTACTGATACTAGTTGAAATCTTTTTTGCAGGGAAGCTAGTAGGAAATTACTGCCTTCGGTTGGATGGGGTTAAGTGCACGGACCTGTTTTGGTCACGTATGTGATGCTTCTTTGTGCCTATGTGTGTTAGATGATCAGGTAGTTCAGTATGGAAGACTGAGCTGGGGTTACTGCACCATTTCAAACAAATGCTTGCAGACTTTCAAAATGAACTGTAAAGGGTTCCAACTCTTCAATCCAAATTCTATCAAATCTGTTTAATAGAAAAATATGGTAGCTAGACAGTACTTTTGTGCAATTTTACACCTTCTGTCTCAGATTAAAATATTTGGAGCTGTCGTGTCTGTTCTTAAATCCCCACCCCCACCATTAATTTTGCTCATGTGTATTCCATAAATCTTGTCTGTTTTAAATGTTCCAACTAATCGTTAAGCAAAACGTTTAGCATAATGATATGATTAACAGAGTCCATTTTTTTGGCAGCCTGGATGCTGTTTTTCTTAAGCAAGTATTGCAGTTTATCCTGATTAGAGATATGAAGAAATTATTCCATTTCTTGGAGAGTTTTTTCTTCTTTCCTTTTTTTTCCCCCTTTTTTTTTTTTTTTTTAATACAAGTATTTAGGGGTTCTGCACTCATTTTGCAGGAATATAATGTGTGATTTGGCTGGATCTTTGAAGTGGTAATATTATAAATCTCCCAATCACCATTGCCCAATCTGTTTTAGCATTCATGTGCCTAATTTCTGTTTGTAATCTGATTACTGGCTTGAGCTGCTCCAGCTTGCAGCCTATTGCTATGCATTTACTGTACTCCCTGGGATGTGATAGCCTGACAGCTCCAGTCCTGTGCTATGAAAAATCTCTACGCGATATTGCTAAGACGGGCCTAGGGCTGTGGCTGGTTGAGAATTAGCTGCTATTGTAGTTTCTCTTTGCCGAATCCTTTGTTTGTGCAACCATGTTCAGAAATCCTTGGATCTCCAGCTATTTGGGAAATGTTAAATACTCTGAGGAACAAGGTAAGAGTTCCAAGTAGATAAAAGAAAATGCAGTTCATTTGTGTGTGTTTAATCTCTCTCATATATATATATGTATGCATGTGTAAATATTGTTTGAGTGGATCTTTTGCAGCTACGTTAGCAACTTTAGCAATCAGTATGCAGTTAGTCACCTAGGCTTTTTCATTATTTCCTAAAGGACACTTCTGAAAGATGCGATTAGATGGATCTTTTAATTAGCTTAGCTTGCCACCGACTTAGGGCCTTTAAATATACTAAGTAACACTGGAAGGTTGCATCTACTTTCTTTTTTTAAATTAAGCATTTTTAATTTCCTATGTATTAAATTATGGATATTGGTTTTATCTGGTAGTTTGTACCTAAGAGGGGATAAGACTGAACAAATGGTTAAAGTTATAAGCAAGTTTGATTTACACTTCAGTAAATACACTCTTAATTTTAAATACGGATATTTAAAATTGTTTTAATGTGGTTATGAGCATCTTTAGAATTCTTCAGTGAAAGAAGGAACAAAATGCTGTTGCAAAGATTTTCCTTCTGTATATAAGGTACTCTGAGGGTGGGGTTTTTTTTCTTTAACTATTGAATTAATGTTTCTTTTATGGGCATATTTATTTTCTTTTTAAGAAGAGTTGTTTTACTTTTCTCCTGTTTTTATTTAATTTTAAGACTTCCATATTGTAGTAAGTAACTTTTATTGGACTTTAATCCTCCCACACAGGGTTTAATTTGAACAGGAGGAAATACATAAAATATCAAAACTGTGTAACAGAATATGATTGTCTGGTTGGGTTTTCTGTTTTGGGAGGGGCTGGAGGAGAGGAACTTGCCCCTGTGAAATACAGTTTTAAGATGTTTTTGAGGCATTATACATGTGCTATGTATGAATGTTACTGAATGTGTTTAAAGGGTAGCAGGAGTCAGACCGGCTTGCGTGCCCTCTCCTAGCAGCCCTTCTCCCTCCTCCCAGAAAGGCAATGAAAACTACTTTCTTCCCTTCTCATATCCCCTCTCCAGTTTTGGCCAGTGTAAGGAAAATTTCTCTGTGGTCTACTTGTGGTTTTCAGGCTGGACAGCTGTTTTAGTGCCAAAAACTATAGGATGGGTTATATCCTGTTAGAACTGCTATAAATTTAAGATATGCCTGGTTCTGATTAGCTAAGCTGATACTGAGCTGGGTTTTTTAAGTTGCTGTCTACTCTTTTCACAGTAATGTAAATCTGGCCTTTTTAAAGGATACTTACACCATGGAGTATTCTTTCTAATGTTGTAGTGTAAAATATAATGTTTTATATACCATCCATACTGTTTTTCTTATAATGTTCTGGTTTAGTATAACAAGATGTTTCTGTATTATCTGTGTGCTTTATTCTGCATTACTTGGAAAGAGAAAATGAATGTTAACAAAAACAGGAAAAAGTTGCCTATTAAAGATGAAGAATGCTGTTAGCAAAGCTGCTTGAAATCTACAGTGACTTGTAGCAGATGCCTAAAAAATGCCTTTTTGTACATTTTAAGCCTCTTCATCAAGCTGTTAAAATGATTGTCTTCTACTTTTTTTTTTAATCTGTTTGCCTGGAGAGGTGGCAGAAAGAAGTGGAAGAGAGGAGGCCGAAGAGTTTTGAATGGCATAGACAAAAGATATATTCTCTAAATTAAGAACAATGTTGTCAGATATAATGAGTTTCATTAAACCCTTTCTGCAAAAATATGAAACATCCTACCTAGATTTTAACCTATTTTGTATAAGCAAAAAGTATTTGTTTACCAGTTAGCTCTTCTTTGAAACAGTTAAATCTCAGATCTGGGGTAGAGTAAGAGCGATATCACTGCTTTTGAATCATTCTAAAGTCCCAATTGTGTAATATTCATGTCTGTCTTTGAAAAATAAAACGAACACTGCATCAGTGACCAACTGTTTATTAATTTAGGGTGCTGGGGTAGTTGACTTAATGCAGATGGGAATGGAAGGCAATTTTCCCATTGGAAACAAGTTACTAGTAGCTTTGTGTGTTTTTCAACAGCAGTCAGAGACCAGGTGCTCCCCTGCCTCCTGACTAGTAGTTCTCTGAGGTGTCTTAATAGCATCCTCTTTGTTTAATGGAGGGAGCCAGTACTTGGAGCACTGGTCCTCCTTGCCACTGTTCATCATTTAGACCAGATGATGATGCTTTTGACTGTAAAAATGAAAAAGTTAAATCTGAGGGGAGAGAGGGGAGATTGCCTATGGTTCACACAGGTCTGGGAATCTAGTGGCTTTGTAATACATACTTGTTGAATATAAGGCTGTGTCTGACACAGTTGCTGTCAGTGTAAACACGTGTTCCTCTCTGAAAGTAAGCATGTTCTAAGGCTATTCAGAAAAAAAAAAAAAAAAAAAAAAAAGGGGAGCTTCCAAAAAGTAGACAACCTTCAGAAATATTTCTGTCATGGATGGCGTAATACTGTTGTTGCAACAGATCCTCAGCTGGGCATCTCTGACTTCTGCAGTGAATATGCAGTTTTTATAGTATTGCTAGGCTGCAGCCAAAAAGGCTCTTGCTACTTGCAACATTTCTCATTTGCAGAGTGCTTCATAAATATATCTGCTGCCCATTTTATAAGCTGGGAAACTGAATCAAGGAGTTTAAATGATAGCCTCAGGCTGCAGTGCTACACCATGAATACTGGGATTAGGATATAGCAGTTCCATAAAGTGTTGATGCTTTTGATATGTTTACTGTCTGTACTCATTTTTGCAAAGCTTTGGTTTATCACCAACTTGGACATGCCCGATTATGCTGCGTTGACTAGAGGGAAGGCCTTCGTACAGTCTTTTCCAGTGGAAAAGGACTGTGATTGGAAACTAAAAGTTCTCTGTTTATTAAAGCATCTTCACTATGGTGTGTGGTTTTTTTCATTTCACAGATTTTGGCAAAGAAAACTCAGTCAGATTTAAACCTTCACGATTGCTCCAAAGGAAGAGAGCGTTAAGGTAAGGTCAAGTTTTTCTTGCCCGGTGAAGATGTCCAGTTGCACAATTGTAACTTGCAGTCATTGCTTGCATCTACATTTATTCTTTTGTCAGGGAAAATGATTATTGGTCCTTTTGCAGGACCAAGGTTCAGCATAAAACAGATGCTCTGAACAGGTATTGAAAACACCAACTGCCTCATAAGTAATGTGAATATTTATATCTGGCGTTGCTAAGGGAAAAGTCCCACTCTACACTGAGCCTCCTGCCACTGCAATGACCATTTTTCTTTGCATGGCACAGACACAGTACAGACATATAGTGAACCATCTTGGAAAACTGATCTGTCTGAAAAAGAAGGTGGCTGAAGTGGGTGAATTAATTATACAGCCATGCAAAGAGCTTTGTCAGCACATGGGAGGGGACACTGCAGAGATGAATGGAGAGGTGACGTTGCTGCTTCTTTGCAGGGCCATGCTGCCTCATGCCTGCAGTCCTAGGGCACAGTTCCACAGAGCTGAGTAAGGGGATACAGTTCACAGTTAAGCAAGGTGGCAGGTCATGTTGCCTCTCGCTTCCCGTCCTCCTTCTGACTGCTCTTGATGTCTACCTTTGTGCTTGCTGGACTCATTGATAGTGACACGAAAGGAGGCCAGGGAGTTGGGAACTGACTCTTGCCCCAGCAACCAGCTGTTTTGTTGGCTCAGCAGTGCAGGAGTCCACCAACCTTAGGCACCCAGGCTTATGTTTGCAATCATCTTTTCAGTCAACGCACACCTTCTGGAGCACACCCAATTCCCCGACGTTGTTCCATAGATACTGTAGAGAGATGGAGGGAATAGGTGTACAAGACCGTGCTCACTTACGTAAGAGTCTAGGGAAGGAAATTCTCCTGGAGGTAGAAAAAGAGAAGAAATGAAAAATGAACACCAGACACCTAGCTGGCAGGTATACAAGTGGATTTTCATGCATGGGTTTCAATCACAAAATCTCAGTATATCCCTCAGCTTTAATCCAGATGATAGGGCAGCATTACCAGTGGCATTTAGATCAAACTTCTGCTTGCTTTTGGGTATGTAACTAGGTTAGTGGGCCAGCTATTTAGAAACTGTATGCTGCTGCTGCAGCAGCAGATGAAGTTTTCAGCCTGGAATCCCTGATGTATAGAAGCAGCCCATACTTACTTTGGAAGTTGCAAGAGCAGTATAACTACTGAGACTGTCAAATATTCTACTAATGCCACATTATACATTGTTTTTAAAGAAAAAATATTGAAGTTGTGAAATACTGTTGCCTGTGTTTTAATAGGAATCATATGAATTCCTGAACATTGGAGAATATAATGAGTTTGTTGGGAACTTGAGGCCAAACCGCACACAAATCCCGTGCGAAACAAACTTGTGGGACCTCATGCTGTTGGTTGTATTTCATGAACCGTGATCACAGGCTGTAGTTCAGGCAAGAATAGGAGGACAAGTTCCTCTTTCAGTATCTAGTTTTAACAGGGACTTTTAATAGGGAAGGAAATCTTGCAAACTTATAAATTTATCTAATTTTTCATGTAGAGAAACCCACATATGCCTTAAATTATTTTCATAATGAATGTGCATAGCCCAACTGTTAAGTGCAGAAACTCCTGGTGCTGCTGCTTGGAACCTGCATCTAAGTTTATAGCATAACTTGAGAAATTAAGAAAAGCAAAGCTGAGTAGATGTAGTTGTGATACTTCTAGAACAGGGTTGTAGATGAGTTTGAAGGTGCAACATACTTGGCAATCCAAGTCTGACTTCTCTGACTCTGCTTAAGTAACTAAATTGATGCTGTAACTGTTCCTTTAGCAGAGAAGCTAATAAAACAGGGAGACATCTGGATAGATCCCTTCAAGGAAGAATAGAAGTCTTGGTGAGGAATTACTTATGAGCGTGTTTTTTAAAAACCCTTATGAGTATTATCCTGTAATTTTATTTATTTATTTATTTATTACTAGTTGGAATTGCTTTAACATCATTCCAACTCAAGTTAGGTTCCTAATGAGTGTTCTTACTGAATACTGTGACATGTCCTAAATATGCCTCCTTTCATTTTTAGAACTAGTTTTATATATGTATCTATAAATAATGAATTGTTTGGCTTAACTGTATCATCTTCAGAGCAGTACTCTGTCTCTGAATTCACTGTGCAAGTGAAAGCAACGTAATTGATACATCGGCTTAAAACATTTTGTGTTTCTAATGTACAGATATTTAAAACAAGCAGTGCTGTGTACCTGAAGCTTTACAAGAGATGGCAAAAATGCCTCTGAAGAGGAAAAACTCCTCCAGTGTGGATAAAATAGTCAGTATATGAAAATGATTAATCATTTAAAAATAAACAAGTAAATAAAAGTTGACAGTCTGTCCAGAGGGAGATGGAAAATGAGACCATAAGGGAAACTGTGAAGGGACTTTCACAAAGCGGGTAACCTGTGATGCTATGTAGCCCAGCGAGGGTTAAGCTTAAGAAGTTTGTGGTTATTAAAAGAATTTTAATGAAATCTGCCAGTGAGCAAAGGTTGGAAGCCACCCTCAGTACAACGAGGGAGGGAGCTTACATTCAGGAAGAACTGGATGACCTTGAGGAGTAATAGAAAAGGATGTAATGTAATAATACTAAGTGCGCAGTTGTGCATTGGGGGCTGATAAATTTTTCTGTCACTTGCAACTGATGAAAGCAAAGCCTTGGCATATTAGTTTCTCATGCAGGATTGAGCAACCAGTATAATGTAGATATAAAAAGGCAAATGTGTTGTAGATCCCAGCATTCATCTGGCTAGTCATATAATTAATATTAATATTCTCTATTAAAATTTCTGGTTTTAGAAGATGCTGCTAAGACCCAGGTCTGTAAACAAGACTGTCCAATTCTGGTCACCACGAACAAAAAACATGACTTAAAACTGGAGTGGGTAGAGAGCATTTTTACAGATAATCAATGAAATTGAGGGCCTGTCTTGAGGAAGCTGAGTAGATGTGGAAAACTTCTGTTAAGAAAAATAATTAAGGTAACCGACAACACTGGCATGAGAACAAATGAATTGAAACCCAGTGAAAGACATTTAGACTGGATTTGGAGGGTCTCTGGCTTCAGCGTCCCTGGAGCTCCCTGGAGTTTGGAGGAAGGGACGGGAATGAACCTAACTAGTTTACAGTGTCTAAAAGTATGTTGAGGATTGTCAAGCAATCCAATAATGCAATTATTTTTAGAGCCAGCAAGCTAGTGCCAATCCTAATTCTGTACAATTTTACCCTTGGAAATTCATGTGGGACTGAGGCATAGTTGTGGATGTTAGTGCACAGTTAATTTAAACACGGATTTTTCTGTATGAGTGAATGCCCATGTTAATGGAAACATAAGATGCTGCACTGTCACAAGCATTATGGAAGCAACTGGAGATGCTGCCAAATATAGCCCAGGTATTCAAAAGTTACGAGCTGGGTCCCTCAGCACTTTTGAGACAAGTCTTAAGTAATCAAATTGATTTGACAAAACAAATTTTGGTTTTGATCTATAGCCTTAGGCCAATATTATTCACATTTTCTCAAACTCATCCTCAGCCAAAAGGAGTAGAAACTGCTTTCAAATGGAAAATGGGAATCTTTCCACCTAGGGGTTCTCCAGAAGCTGTGTCGATAAGAAAATAACATATTGCGAGGCTAATAGGAATCATGAGTGTTGGCAGTGTGGGGTTAGGCATGCAGAAACATGTGGTTAACTGTCTGAGTTTCTGCCTAGTCTCAGATGACACACGAACCCATTTGCTTGTGGCTGCTGCGTGCTATTTTTTGATTTTATTTTGTTTTTTGTTTAGTTCCATTAAAGTGTTTTCTCCCTGTAAGGATACACAGTTTTCTGTAATGGGCAACTTATTGCAGCTCTTTATCTTCTACTTGCTGTTTTCTGTAGGGGCTAGCATTGCTTTTCTTGGCAATCCCTGGAATAATTTCTGTAAGTGCAGTTGTTGGAGATGATTTGCAGCAAGTGGCATGGTGCCTGAATGTGACACAGCCCAGTTTCTTTATTGTCATTTCAAGGGCTTTATTCTCTTCCCAGTGTCTTACAAGGGAATATTATTTATAAACAATAAAGAAGCAAATACTTCTTGGAGTTCATATAAGATGTTATTAGTCATTATATGCTAAAACTCATTTCAATGAGAAATGTTCTTCTGGAATAGTGAGTACAGAGTTTTTCTTTTTTACTATTTTTTCTTTTCTAGCCAAATACCCTTGATGAAAGGGTATTCAATTTTTTAAAAAGCCTTTTAAAAACTGTCCTAGGGATGGATTTTTCCAACAGTAAGGCTGTGCGATTTGTCTTATAAGAATGACAGTAATCATATGGCACATCACTACCATGGCAAAATGAAGAGCCTAGGTTCACTGTGGGGATTTATATTTGTTACATCTGTCTACACAGTTTACTAAAGGTTTTAAGACTAGCGTAAGTTTTGTTATGCCTTGTTGGGATAATTTAGAAGTCATAATGGCAGAATACAGAAGTTCTCTATTTTTAATAACTAGAGAGAAAAATCTCACCTTGTTTTTCCACAAGGAGGATCACTTCCTCCAAAAAAGTCTCTGTAGACAGTAACTACTTTAAACCACTATGACACCTACATTTTACAATTAAAATCTGTATATTTAATGAACATATTTAAAGAAATATTTTGTTTCATCTGAATGGGCATTTTTGCTGTTTTGAAAAAACAAGGTGTAAAACTAAATGATCTGCTCATATTAGTGTTTTATAAGCCATATAAGATCCAGAGATCAGCCCAGTAACAATAGGGCAGTCATACAGAAGTGGAGGGTACATACAGTACTGCATTTGATGAAATATGTTTTAATATTTATGGAGAATCATTTGATACAGATTATTTCAAATGTAATTGCTAGTAGAGTGTTTTGAAGGCAGTCTCCAGTCAGTAATTTAATGCAAAAATGTGTCACAGTTGGTTCCAAACAAGTTTCAAATTATGTTAGGTTTGGCTTTGTGAGTTTCTTGGGGTTATTTCTTATTTTGTTCTTATGGAAAATATTTTCTTTGGTATCTCTGTTAGACTATCTTGCAGTAATTTGGTTACATCTTGGCTTTATTTGATTTGTAGCAGAAACATCCACAGTTCTGTAAACCAAATGTTACTTTCAGTTTTCAGAAGGAGTTTTCATTTGAAGATAAAGAAGAACTTGCAAACAGCACAAAGAGTATTGATGCTAATCTCTTAGCAGTACTTCCAAAAGGTAGGTAAGGGAGACACATTATCAACACAAGTGGTAATTTAACAGCACATGAAGTTTAGTCTATGCAAGTGCAAGGTACAGTTAAAATCACTTAGGCTCAGATGTTTTGTAAATGAGTTTTCTTTTTCCTGTGAAGTATGCATAGGGGATGAAACAGGGAATGAACCACAATGCTCTTTTACAAGGCCTTGTTACATTCCTGCTTCATAAAGTTCAGCTTTGTTTACCTAGTTTTCAATAGGTTAAAGAGTTGAAATTAAAAACTTCAGAGAGGTTTCTTTGTACAGTTAGATTAATACTGAATTCAAAGGTATTAACTTGGCTTGTAGTCACAGCTCTTTCCAGTCCCCTTCAGTGGTTGGTAGAATCACTGTGCTTGCATGACCAACTGACTACACACTGAATTTTAGTCTTGCATGCTAAAGGACCTGCACTACATATGGATTTGGGGATTTTTTTGTTTTTCTTAAATGTCTTAGTCTGAATAATATGGGAAGAAAACAGCAGTTCCATCTCTATCTTTTGACACAGTTGAGGAAGAGGTGAGAATTAATTCTCCTAAATTATTTGGAGGAAATCACAGTCTGCTTGGAAATAGTTCTTGACCAATAAAGGGTGACATTTGACTGAAGAACTATGTGTAACTGGCATAAAGATGTTCCCTTGACTCAGGGATGTTGTGGATCTTGGAACTTCGATTAAAATTGTGTGTGTGTTCTTGATGGTATTTACCCTTTTCAGACAAACTTCAAGGCTAGATCCACTAATCCCAATGTAAAGGAACTGGCTTGTTCTTTTAATGTCATTTGTTGCAGAGTTCCTTTAGAAAGGAGTCCTTCTTCCAGCATAACATTTAAGTGATCTTCTTGCTTTCATAATATAATCATTACACATGTTCAGAAAGAGACTTCATTGACACAATGGTGGAATAGAGTGATATGCCTTTATACAATACAGACTTCCTGAGAGCCCTGGTTGGTAAGAACACACAGTCCCTCATTATTCCATATACTTAACTTTGCAGTCATGCTGGCCAACAAGTTAATTGTGAGAGCCTTCACTTGAGAAACCTTCTCTGTAAGTTGCTTCTCATTGAACCAATTTCTATTCCAAGATGTTTCTATTTCATAAGGAATTATTCTCATAATAAAGGCATCAGATTTGGTGTGTACCAGACTTAAGAAAAATTAAACAGTGGGAGCTGATGGTTACATTCTGAGGAGATTATTTGAGGCCTAACACCTTCTGAAAATCCAGGTTATTTGTCCCATCTAGGGCCTAACTTTGATCAGATTTGCATATATTGGAAAATCAGAGAGGTATATATTTAATTTTCAACTGATACAGACTGAACTGAGGTTCAAAGAGTCCAGCTAAAGTCTCACACAGTGCTGCCTGCAGTTAAGCACTGAACATGTTAGTATGCCTCTGCTAGCATAAACAGAAGATAAATGCTTCTCCAGCCTGTTTTGTAGACCATCATCTTTCCAGGTGAGGAGAGGAGGAGGTAGAAATGAGGCTGGTAGGCTTCACTATTGTGTTAAATTTTCCTCAAAATGAAAATGTACATACCTATGTTGCAATGGTTATTTACCTGCTCTGAGAAATTAAGTCTCTGGCAGGTAAACTTTTGATTCACATCTATTCAGGCTTCACAAATTTATATGCTCACTCTCTACTAGGGACTTTTGGAACATGGATGTCTTTGAAATGGTGCACTTCCTGATGGTCAGGTGGAAAAATTGGTTAATTGGCACTAACATACTCAAATTGCAAACTAAAAAAGAGAAACCAGATCACCTAAGCTTTCAAGGGCCAACCAGTGTCCTTGGGAGTGAAATTTCTTCAACTGGCTTTCATGTTTTGAGGTCAAATATTTTATTCAGCAAAAATAAGTCACTAGAGTAGAAGACTTCCTGCATTTTTATCTTCTTTTTTGCCTTTTTTTTGTGCTTCTTTTTACTGCTTCACCAGAAGAATATTGCTGAAACTGCTTTCATAAAAATGCTCTGCAGATGTTGGCCAACCTAGCTGAAATTACTGTCTGGAATCTCAAGTGTGGAAAAAGTGTAAGGCAGCACAGAATAGTCCCATGCTATTTTTGTCCCATCTTGTTTGGGAAGGTGTTGGAGAGATTCTTCATGAGGCCAGTACTATTTTTTAGGACTGCAAAGCAGTAGTAGAATCTCTGGAACTTCAGCTAACATGTAGCCAAGAGAGTGTTGAGCTAATGCTGATGGGAGTTCTTTGGATGTTCCACATTTCTTGTATGTGGACGACTTATAGTCAAGTTTCCTTTTTGGGGGGAAAAAAAAAAAAGTCTTTAGTATATGAAGCTATGCTTTAGAGCTTTACTAAAGCTGTATAAAAGACCTGTTCTGTGATGATGGTTTTAAGGACTGTATAAATCGATCACTAGGGAAGAAAAATGATCAGAATTTGGATGGAATGTAGTTTTATTAACTGTGAACTGTGGAGGCCTTTGACCTGTCTGAAGTGGCAAAACAATTATGGGTTTTGTTTTGACCATTTTATGTATGTAGCCAACAGATGAAACAGAAAAACTCTAATAGCTAAAGGAACAAACTTAAACAGAAGTAGATTTGGCAGAGGTGAGAGCAAAGTATTTATGAGAAATCATTTCCTTTGGTGTGAATGTGAGACAAAGGCTGGATTCATATGGATGAGCTCTTTGGTTAGTACAGTTCCACTGCTAGCACAGCTTGAGTAGGCAGAGCAGCAGCAGGAACTGCTTATTCATTGAGAGAAAGGTCTATGAAAACACAACATAAGGGCTCATCTTTGCTTTGGTGTTGGTTCAGGATGCGAATTTTGTATTGCCAAAGTCTAGTTTCCATTTGTCTCCAGAGATCTGTGCCTGGAAGTTGCTGACTTTCAGTGGCTGTCTTGCACTGTCAACCTGATGAAGAGCATAGGCTTCAGTCTGGTTTGCAGATACTGAATCTAGGCTGGAAGAAGTGTGCCTTGAGTTAGCACTGTGAAGTAGCTGCATAGTCTCTGCACTGCTAATTGCATCAAATGTGCACGTATTAGATTTTTTTTTTTTAATGGAATGATCACAATTTAAGCTAACCTGGCTTGAGAAATTGAAGCGCATAGCTAGAGTATGCTTTCTGTAAAAATGTAGACTAAGGGAGTTGTTTTGGCCAGTGGCCCAGTTGATTTCTTTCCCCTGTTAATTGCACATTCTCAGTAGGTGCTCATCTGTAGCCCCAGACACGGTATTCATACCTCATTCATTTGCTTCTTTGAGTAGTCACGATCAGAATACATTCATTCTTGCTGATTCAAGACATTTTACCAGGAGTCCTAGTGGCTTTTCATCACGTAAGGCTGATATGACAGCCCGTGTCAATAGTATCTATCTGTGTCTGAGGTATGCACACTGGTATTGACTACAGCAAACTTCCTGGATATGTGTCAGCTAAGCTGAAACCCTGGTTTAGCTATGCCTGTAAATTCTTGCAGTAGAGGAAAGGAAGAGAAGGTGCATCTGACCTTTAAAAGGGTGGTGTTTCAAGAATGTTTATCTTCTAAATATCTAGAGCGATGAAGTCTGGTGGGGGAAAAAGCTGATAGATTTACTTCTGCAGTGGTGCAGAACTGTGTCTGCTAGACACTCCTGACTCATCAGGCATTTCTGATGGCAATCTGGGGCTGATTTAGCAGCCTGTAGACTTTAGCTTGCTTTAACTTTTGATCCCTGGGTCAATAGTGTCATAACTCCTGAGGTATGCTTCATCAGAGTAGGCACACACAGCTTTTAGCACCACATCTTTGCTAAGGCAGTCATATGGGGGGGGGGTGTGCGGTGTATGGTGGGGGATTGTTAGGCACACACGCCCCCCAGTCCACTGTGTCCTTCAACAGCATGGATGATTTCTCTTCCTGGTGGTAAGAAATCATGCCACAGTTGTTTATGTAGCACTTACTGCTCCAATGTGGTTTGCAAACATCACTGCTAACTGTGCACATATGTGTATGTACATAGGGATTACTTCATCTATCATGCCTCCTGTTGGTTCACTACTATTTTGTGAACTGTGACAGCTGTCTACTAGCGTGTAACACCACCAAACAGTTTAGGGTGAGAGAAGGAAAATGTGGCTGATTAAAACTACGAGGGGAAAATTAGCAAAGCAGAAAGTGATTAACCATGCAGGAATATTATGAGAGTACACAGTAATTTTCACTCCAGCCATGAATCACTGGGATTGTTGGGATTTGCTTAAGATAAGGCAGTGGAGGAAAGTAAGGAGTAGGGGACACTGTTTCTCTTTAAACATAGTCAGTCCCCAACCTTTGTGTAGACAGGGTAAGCAGTAATTCCATACTACCTGGTTTTGAAACAGGTTACTATAGCACATAAGTTTGCCCTCAGCTAATCAAAATATAACTTGCCCAGTTTATACTAGATCTTGAAAACTGATAGGATGGCATAGCAGATTCTAGTGTAGCCTGGAAGCACCTGGAGGGAAGGACTCCTTGCTGTCTATATGTATGTGCCTAAGGCACTTTTGACAATGCAAGCTTAATAAACTAGCAAAAAAGGAGCAAAATGCTTGTTACCTGACAAGAGCTATTTCAAACCTCTTAACTTTATTTGACTCTTCCTTCTTATTCTAAAGCATTTGATCAAGTCTATGTAGCTTATAAACTGTATAATTTTTTGTTGTCTCAGTTTCAGAATTAAGAAAACTGTTTGAACCAAACAACCAAGATTTTTTGGAAATGAAAAGGTAAAAAAAAAGTCTTTGGCCTGTAAAACAAAACACACAGTTTTTGTTACCTCCTCTTAGAAACTCTCCCCTCAAATCTTCAAATATGCCTGATTTCACATTTGTCACATCTTTTTAGAAAAGAGAGAATAGCTAGACGCTTAGAGGGAATTGAAAATGATACGCAACCTATGCTTCTACAAAACTGTCCAGGATCAGTCACACACCGTTTACTAGAGGAAGATACACCAAGATATATGCGTGCAACTGATCCATACAGTCCCCACTTAGGTAAGTAATATACCTCAAGCAATCTTGAATTCATGTTTAGTACTCTGTCATTTGTGCTGTACGTGGAGAGTTTTACAGAAGAGCTGTGATCAGGGGTTTCTTTTAACTTGCCTTTTAATTCTCCAGTTGTCTCATTGGAAAAAGGTTGATTATCTATATTGTTTTAAAACAACAATATTTGACACGAGACTCTTAAAGAATTATGACTAATACACATTTCTTAATATTTTGTATGTACTTTTGGAGACATAAGTGTAAAAAGGTAATGTGTCTGTGCAGTCATTAGTACACTTTGAATTGTAAGAAAATGGGAAGCTTGTAGTTCACTCGATGTGAATGGTGGGTAAAGTTGGAGTTTTGGGTGGACTTCTCATATTTGTTCCACTTTTGACAGGAAGGTCAAATGAAGAGGAGGAAACTTCAGATTCTTCTGTAGAAAAACAACCCCGATCATCCCGATACCGAGCAGAAATCACAGGAGGTAATATAGAGCCCTTGTATAGTACAGGAAACATGGATGTCCAGGAGCTAGAGTCAAAAGCAGAAAGAATAGCTAGGTACAAGGCAGAGAGGCGGCGCCAGCTGGCAGAAAAATATGGATTATCTCTTGATTCTGATTTGGATTCTGACTACTCATCCAGATATACGCGGGCAAGGAAAGATCCCGACAGTGTGGAAAGAAAGGGAGTGAAAAGTGAAAGGCAAGATGACGAAAACAAGGACTGTGGCTCCCTGTATTTGTCCAGGACTGAGACAAAGGAGTCAAAGAGTGTGATTTCTGAATCCAAAGAGTACTCCAGCCATGAAAAAGATGGTGTTCCAGATAAAGAAGACCTCTCAAATGAAAAGGGTGATAGAAAACTAGATGATGACAGTGCCATTAGAAAGGCTTCTGACCCTTCAGCAACCTTGGATAATTCTGTCTCCCTTTCCCTTTCTGGACGAGAATCTTCCTCCTATAACGAAGTGCCAATATCACCAAAGCAAACCCCCAGAGAGTCCCTTTCTTCACCAAAGCGGGCAGCCTCACCAATCCATTTGCAGAATGACCAGCCCTTGCACAGTAACATCAGACAAAGGTAAGCATTACTTTTATTTGGGGTTTTTTAATACAGTAGATTCCTTTATCTTAATCACATTCTGCAGCAGTGTCGACAGTACTTATGAGAATGTATTTATTAACCTTGAAGAATGTATTTAGTGGCTTTGGATGTCTCAGGCTGGATTGGTTGGGTTTATTGAATCACAGTGTGTTTCTGATACAAGGAAGTGAGTATCTATTTCTATGATTACACATGTCCTTGGTTTCACTTTATATTTATAGAATTTATGCTAAAATTAGGCCCTTGGGAGGGTGGCATGGAATAACTGATGTTTAAGATATTTACACAAACCAGAAATTGAAGCAGTTATGGTTCCAAATCTGCTTCTTTCTTTTTTTTTTTTTTTCCCCTCCAACCTGTTAGAGCAAGCCTTTAACTTTTTTACTCTATATCCTGTAATTGTTTGGGTGGGGGGTTCCAAGTAAAGGCAAGTTGTTTCTCGGTGAAGATTTTAATAGTTTCATGACAGCTTCTACCAAAATAAACCAGGTCTCAGCTAAAAGCTGATAAGTATTTTGGGTCAGTTAATGTAATAGTTGATTTGTTTCCTGCTGTGAAAGTGTAAAACCCTTTTGAGCTGTGATAGTTAATCTTTCAGATAATACCAGGGTATGTGTGTGAAGGAGCAGAGGGGAAAGTTAACATTCCATGCGGAAGCTGAAAAACATAGCCTTCTTCATGGTATGCTGAATTACTTCAAATTTTCGAATTTACTCCAGTAATAAGGTAGCCAGATCCTTCCAGAAGGAGGAAAAAAAAAAGAGTTTTCCCTAATTGCACATTTTAATTTCACACTGTAGTGCAAAAACAGACTGTCAAAGTGTTACAGTGACTGAAAACAATGCGCAACTAACAATTTTTGAAAAGTATGATTTTCTCTAAGTGTGATTCTTTAATTTCTAGGTAAGTGGACAGATGGAAATAAATAACTGTAAAAAGTTAAAATGTTTTGGCTAAAAATGATGTAATGAGAACTTAATTGTAAATATATCTGCATCATGCTGAGCAGTGCTGACTGTTTCTAAAAAACCTGAAATTAACTGTCATAAATGGAACTGTTTATACTTTTTGGCATTTTCTGCAGTAGGTTTAGAGAGAAGCTACCTTGACTGGACTTCTTTCTCCTTCCTATCAAAGTCACAAAACTTGATTCATATTTGTTGTGTCCTTTCTTACTAACTCTCATAAACATACTTAAAAGTTTGAATGAGGGAGCAATCTTCCACATCAAAGGTTAACCACCTGGTGGATTAAGTCATCTATTTCCAGTGCTTGTAAACTGCTCAAATGTACTTAGTCTTATTTTTTGTTTCACTTTGTTGCATAGGACACACCAGTAGTGGTCTCTTAGTATTTTTTTCATAGCTTTTCATTATTCAGGTAACTTCTATCCTGCTCATCTTCTTTTGCATAGATGCATGGCAATATAAGCTAACACTGGACTCCCTCAATTAAGCCAAATTTTGAAATACTGTAATTTCAAAAAAGCCGTCAGAGTCAAAGTAAGCCAACATACGTAGGAAGTATCATCTTCTATTTAGTTTATGTTTTAAGCTTACAGTTCTGCTGCCACAGTAAGGAAAATAGTCATCGCAGGGTCATCTGTACAACTGAGACCAGAGTTGTACTGAAACTCCCTGAGCTGACTAGGTTATTCCAGGCTCCAAAAAAACTTGTCTCTGAAGCAGTCTCGACTCAAATATTACAAAATATTATTGCTTATCTTCCAGTGATCAATTTGAGATAAATCTCTTGACTAATCCAATTACTGATAGGAAGGGATATTGGAGCATTGGACCTTTGGCAGCTTGTTTGCTTTGTTTTATAAGGTGAAGGAGGGGACAAAGTTTTCAGGCTTAAAGCAAAGAAAATAGCCCATCAAACTTTATAGCCAAAAGTGTCTGCTGCAGTGTAAAAAGGGGTTTTATTTTCTTTACTCTCATAAAGCAATCCTAGTCCTTGTTTCTGTGAGAGGAGACCAATGAAACACTGAACAATGACATGCCTTCTAGGTTGTTATCTCTTCCTACTTGGGAGAAGCTTTGCTGTACGCAGCAGTGGGGTGATGGCACTTGCCCTGGTGAAACAGCATGCTGGCTATAGAGACACCTGAATCCACTCCTTCACAGAATAGCCTTTACTGTGGAGAAATCAGGTCTCCTTATAAAGCTCTTTCATCTTTAGTTAACAAGTGTGGTTCTTCTAATGCAGCTCTATAAACCAGTTACAAGTTCAGACTGAGCAGGCTGAAGGCATTGTCAAATCATTCACAAATTCCAGCTGTTTCTTTTTAAAGCTGCCACTTCTGGCATTACCCACTTTTTTTTTTTTTTATAGTAAAAGATGCTACAAAAGTTGGGCAGAAGAGAAATGATTAAGGAAACTTTTTAATGAGGTATACTTTTTCATTTGTTAAGTCATATGTCCCTATGAGATCTAATGATGTGTGAAACACTGAGAGATCAGCTGTGTTTGGCAAGCACTGGAGACAGGCCCCTTCTGCAAGGTCTTCCTTTGAGAGTTAGTTCTTCTCAGTTTCCAGATAATGGAATGGTAGGATTGATTTTTCAGGTGGGTTTGATGTCAAGACAGTTCCAGAGTTTAAACTCCATCCCATTTGTGGTATGGTCATTTTTACTTCTCTGCTCTGCAGAAGTGCCATACTAACAAATGAGAGACTGGGGCTAAAGCAGCAAGAATAAGTCATAACTTAATACAAAATTGCTGGCTGCCTTATCACTAATTTCAAATTCTTTCCGGACAAGCCTTGGGTCAGTATTTATGTAAAACAGGTTTCCCACAATTACTTACTTTTGAAGGAAATCATCTGCATCCACCAAGATGTGGTATAGCTCTTACGGCAGCTGAGTTTAAATTTAGGATTTGGTCTCTTGTTTGGATACATGTGTAGGTGGTAGGTGGTATTTTAAAGGCCAAGTTGCCAAGAGCCCATTCTTCATTTTAGTACCCCTGACAGCTTCCAGTGCCAGGGCATGCTCACTGGTGTGGTATTCCAGGATTTAAGAGTAACCTCTCAGAAACTCATGTCCCTGTTTCTGAGTGGTAAAGAAGTCATTGCCTGTTTCTGTGCAGTCTGTTTAAAGTTACCATGTGGTAGTCTCCTGTAAGGCCACTTGCACAATCATAATAAGGGCTAATGCCAGCTTTCCAGGTGGCTGCCGTTTTGAAGCCAGTTCCACATTATATTGGTTGCAAAATTGTTTTTCTTAAATTTAAATTTGCTGAGTTCAAATTGGAAAATAAATGCATCTTGTTTTGGAATACATATGGAAGCTTTGGGCCTTCAGTCCTAAGAAGATTTAATAATTAATCCTATTATCCATCACTGAGAAGACAACAAAGTGCTGAGAAGGTATCATTTGACATTGTCTGCGTTTAGCTGCTGAAGTAGCTGATTAACTCTAAATTCAAAACATGGCTTGTGTTCTTCTGACTGCTCTCTTCAAAGGATGAATGATCAAGTACAAACAATTGCTGCTTGGGCCATGCCCTCTATAAAAATATGCCAAAGTACACATTAAGAGATGAGAAGGAAGTTTGCTTGCTTCAAAGCAATTCCAGCTACTCAGTCAGCTCCTGTGAAAGGTTTGTACCACCTAATTGGTCAGTTCCTTTAGGAATTCCAAAACATTTAGAAAAACAAAAGGTGTTTTTACAGTCGGTGTTTGACTTTGTTCTGAGCTTGATTGGGATAAGGTGACAACTGTAGGTGAGTTCTCAAATTTAAACTTATTTTCAGTAGATGCACTGTTATTTTAAGAACAGTTGTTGATTTGACTTTCTTCAACTATTTTTATTAAAGGATCAGCTAAGGAAAGTGGAAGTAGATGGCCTGGAGCTTAATTTGGCATTTTCATCCCAAATGTCTCCACTGCAATGCAAGGAGTTCTTTCAAATGTAGCTATAGCTAATGAAAGCAGTCTGGACACTTGTCACCTCCAGGGAGTTTGTAAATGCTGGTGTGGCCAGACAGTCTGCGCTTGCAAGGTTAAAAGTATTTGATGTGATTTACTGTTGCCGAGGATCTGTAGATGAAGGTGGGCATTAGGAAAGTATTTGAGAAATTTTGTGTAGGTAGTCTGCAAATACCCTTTCCTGCAGGGCTTTTAAAAGTTTGCAGTGTTCTTGTTCCTTTTTATGCTTTCAACTCCAAAATGGAAGCAGAATAGAGTCAAGACAAGATCAAATGGGCGGTTACTTTGTTTTTCAAGCTTTTCCTTTCCCATGTCACCCAGTGACACAACATTTTTTACTTGAGCTAACTGGCTTTGGATTTCTGAAGCTTTTGTGATACAGGGCTACAGGAGGAGAGGAGGTTTCCAGATGCTCCTGAGAATTTCTTAGGAACTATGATATAGATGTCTGAATTTCTAACTTTATTAAATTCATATTACTGCTTCGTTTTGGACCTAGTGGTCTTTGCCACTTTAAATCATAAATTTAGCAACTTTTCCAGGTGTCCTTATATAAACCCTTCAAACTGACCTGCAATAGCAAATAACAAAAATAAGATTGTGTAATTGCTTTCACTTCTCAAATTCTGGATGATGTACACTTGGTTAAAGTTACTTTTTCAGAATATTTAACATTCAGAACACTTTTTAGATGTTTATGGAATTAGTATGATAGTTTGTTTCACAGTTTATCACCTTTCAATTTGATTAATGTGCTGCGCTTTTATTTTCATGAACAGCCCTTTTTAATTGAGTAATTAGAAAACAAAAAGAAGCGGTGGGGAGGGAAGATTGGGAGAAACAATGGGAGCATGTGTTGAGAGTTCAAAAATTACCTGAAGTTCTGTTTTCTGTAGTAGTGCAGGGAAAGCAAAACCTGAATGGTTTCTTCAGAAAGATTCGGAAGGGGACACACCTTCACTTATCAGCTGGCCCTCCAGGTATCATAAAACATAGCTGTGTGGCTAACAGACTACAGACCTGCCCTTTCTTTCCCTTGACTTAGTCTTCATTTAACACTTGCCTTTAATTTTCCTTTAAGAGCAGCAAGTTAGAAAGTGTTGTTTCTTGTGGATAAACAGCTGTTGAAACTTTTCTGAAGCATCTGCTTTTATTGTAATTTATGACCAATTGGTATTTTGATGAAGAAGTACAAATGCCTGTAGCTTCTTCCACAGCTACTATCACTCTGACTTCCACTAATTTTTATAACTTCTTATTTTATCCCACTTTGTACTCTGCAAAGCAGGAGATTTTTATACTGCACACCAATTCATTTTAGCATTCCCTGCAATTAATTCCTTGAATTCCAAAGGAGAATGATACAAAAGAAGTAAAAAACATATATTAAAAAGTAAAGCAAGATCTTGATTAGAGCTACAAGCAGCTGCTTTCTGATAGTTTGGTAACACATACAGTTAGCCCACCATGAAAAACATTGCAAGAAGACTCTTTCCCATGTTCCTGACTAAAGTAATTCTTATAACCCAGTACTAACACTGTGGATGTTCTGGAGAATGCTTGGTACATGTAGTTTAAAGAATCACTTTCTCAGACTGAAAAGACTTTCTGTGCTTAAGTAACGTTTAGAAGTTTCCCTCAAAAGTGCACCAATTCTCAGAGATAAGAACACCAAAATACTGGAAAGGTTGGTGTTTCAGATGATTTTAGATATCCTGAAGTATTCTCTTAGATATTCATTTGCCGCCTTTTCCTAAATCTTACCCTTTTTTAATAATGTAAACTCAAAAAATTCTGTTGGTAACAAGCCTGGAATTGCACATACTTTGTTTGAGCTGGATTACTTACTTTCAAATAAAGAGCTAGTCTCCAATTTTACTTGAGTTTCTCTCCTTCCTCAGAATTAAAATATTTTTTTATACCCATTGGGGAAGGGAGGCAATACAGAGCTTTCATTTTTAATGCCATGTATGCAATATTTACAAATGTTCGACCTGCAAGCTGTCCAAACATTTGGTGGGGCTGTAAAACTGCTGGAGAACTTACCTGCAGTTGTAGTCATGGAGCAAAGGCTGCCTCCGGCTGCACAGGCTTGCATTCCGTTAGTGCAGTTGCATTAAGTGTCTAAAGGTAGAATACAACTCTTTTGCATGGATGTTACACAAGTCTAGAGATGCTTCTAGAAAATGTGCTGAAGTAAGATAACTTTTGGGAACATTCCTGTTAGTTCTGCATGTTAAAAGGTGATGAAACATTTAAAATAGAATGCCTGGTTTGAGTTTTGGGGGGCTTTTAATGCTTTCCTCCCCTGCAAGTCCTCTGAGGAACAGCCATGCCAGAGTTTCACTTTGGGCTTTAAGGCTTGCACTTTCAACATTTTTTCTCACTTACTGAAACAGGTTACAGTACATGTAAAGTTTTAGATGTCTTATATAATACACAAAAGCACAACTGAAAAAGTCTCTGGCAAAACATCTGAAGGGCTAGATGGAGATAACGTGTTTTTTCATCCCTTTCCCTAATGCAGCAGCATCTTGATAGGACATAAGCTGCCCAGTGTTTAGACGTCTTCAAAATCTGACTATATACATGGTTGCCAATGGAATTTGCAATTTCAGGCTGAACCCAACACTTTGTTAATATAAAAAGCAGTTTTGATCATCTTCTTTGTTTGAGACTATGAGTATGTTCTGTTTGACAAAAGCAGTTGTGACCTCATGGGAACATGCTGTATGTTTTCAGAGCTTACTCAGTTACCTTCTCAGGAGTCATGCATGTTTGAGGGCCTGTGAATCACTTGAATGTGTTTGAGCAGTGTTGCTGCTAAGATACAGGGGGAGAGGAAGGGGTTGCATCAGAAGATTGCTGTCTTTTATGTATTGATTGCTTTTTATTTTAATACAATGTTGCTGTCTCTGCCCACAGTAGGTGTCTCTGTTCCTTCCCAGATTGGATATTGCTGTTCACAGCTTTAATCCTTTTTCTTTCTTAAAGAGTAAAAGTTAGAGAGAAACTGGTGAAAGAGGAAAGTGCTCGTGCAAGCCCTGAACTTGTCACAGACAAAGTATCTCAGAGAAAATCCCATCCAGTGCCAGCCCACTACATGCCTCTTCAGACAGAAATGCCTGCCTTTGACAGGGTTTTAAATCAGCCCGTCAGTTCAGTCCGCCAACCAATACATGGCTATATTCAGCCTGCTGGCATTGCTCACACAGCTCAGCTGATGGCAACAGAAGAACCAGCAAACATCTCTGCTGGCAGCCTCCTCCTGCCAGACAATGTTAGCCTCTTAACAAAATCGTCAGCAGCCACTGCATCAGAGAGTGAAAAGAAAGAGGCACTTGGTTATGGAGCAAAGCTTGATGAAGAAGATTCCTTGGAGGGTGAGCAGGCTTCCAAAGGCCAAAGACCAATTTTGCCATCTGAGATTCGCAAGCAAGGGAAGAACCGTGAAGGCCTCTTTGGAGGAGGAGAATTGGATAACCCTGTGGGGAGTTCCTCTTTCGCGAGCAAGCTGAAAGTTAACTCGGAAGTTCAGAGCAAGCTGGAGTGCAATAAGAGGCAGGCTCCTGAGCAGCAGATTAAGACCCCTGAGAACATAGAGAGGAGTGAAGCTGTTATGTACATACAGAGTGGGTCTGTATCACAACCTGCCAAGGCAAAAGGTCCTGTTCGGAAAGTGTCGACAGCAAAGCATAAAGTCCTGACTCGCTCAATGTCTGACTATACTGTGGCTCCTAAGCTAGAAGCTTTTAAAAGTAAGGAGAGCATGGAAGCAAATGCACCAAACGGTGAGATTGGCATGGTTGACACAAAAGTCTCTGTTGCCCAGCTCCGTAATGTCTTTCTGGAGACTGCTAATGCCAACAAGAAAACGGAACTGTAGGTGACATTTCAGACATATTTTTGTGTGAAATTTGCACGTCCTTGGCAAAAATTACACACACTCAACAGCAGTTGTGTTCGGCACTTAAAGCACACAGCTTAGCTCTCACCAGTGTGTACTGGAGGCTGAGATGGTTTGAATCCTGCTTTTGTGCTTCTGCTTGCTAGTGCAAGTTGTGATGTGGGGTAGCTGGAATGTGTACGTCTGCGCATGTTACCGGAGGAGCATGCAGAGTGATCTCTAGTGAACCGTTGAGATGCTTACATCTATGCTTTACTTCTCTCTTCTATTTTCTTTCCTATGCGCTTTCTATCATGTGGTTTAAAAGTGTATCTCGGTTTGAGATGTCAACGGCAGGTAGCACTTTGTCTGCCAGTGGTGACCGTGAAAGAGGGCCACGAAGGCCAAGGCGCTATTTTTCTCCCGGTGAAAATAGAAAGACTTCTGAGAGATTTAAAACTCAACCTATAACGTCAGCAGAACGAAAGGAGACAGATAGGTAGGCACATATGTAGCTCTGTGTAGCATTCTGGTGCAGGTAGACATGAACAAGCTTGTGAAGAAACTTTGTTCATTTAATAAACAAACATTTTGCAAGGTTATTGTTTCTCCTTAAAAACAGTCATTTGTTATAGCTTCATATAAAATAGAAATCAAAACCACCGACAAAACCAATTCATTGCAAATCCCCCCTCACGTAAAATGGTGAACAATGAATCATCATAAAGTATTATAGCTGTCTGGTTCTGTCTAATGATAAACACTTTTGGTTGTATATAAAGACTTTCCTTTCCATCTATTCTGCTTTATAATTTACTTTTTCTGTAAACAACCGGAGCTATATATTTTATGTTAAAGAGCTGGCAGCAAACCTTAGATTTTTATCTTCTGCAAGATGAACTGGAAATCATTTTCCTTTACTGTATTTAAGTTTGGCTGCAATTGCTTGCCTTTCTGCTTTATTAAAGGATGTCAAAGTGGAAGCTGTTGAAACTTGAAAACTAGATAAAGTTTTCCCACTCTTAAGACTTTTGAGGTCCTGCTACTTCAGATGGAGTTTGACTTTAGTTTTTGATGTCTCATTTCCAACTAACTTCTTTCTGTTTGGTAATTTTTCACTAGGTCAATTTTGAGTGCAGAAATACCAACCCCTGAAGGTATGTCACTATACTATTTTCTAAGGAAGAAAAGGGAGAAAATGTGTTTTGTTTTAACTGAGGAACTATTTGATAATGCAAACAAAGTCCACTTGAAAATAACTATCATTACATCTAATATATTTGAAGTACCACTTTTCCTGGGGCCATGTCTACTACAGACTTGATTTCAGATTCATTTAAGTCCAAAAGTCTGTCTATGGATGCTGAACTTTGTATGGGAGGCAAGGTTGGGAATGGCTTGACGCTTTTCAACACAGGGGTGTTTTTTTCCTGATTTAGACAATAAATAAGCTAGCTAATGAATAAAAAATACATGTTTTAATGAGTGGTCTAGGACTAAAAAAGCCTTTACTATAGTGTAAAACTGATATTGGTAACGTGTTTTCTAGCTAAGGAAGTTGCAAGATGCTGGTTATTAAATTATATAATTCAGTCTGCCATCTTGCTTCTGTTTCCCTCTTGTCACTCTCGACAAGTCTGGCACAAATTAAGTAGGTAATCTCATGAGTAGCTAAATTTGGATGTAATGCTTTATGCTATATGAAAGCTGATATTCTCTGCAACTTTGAGATGCTGGCTCTTGGGTCTGGAGGATGCTGATTTCAGCTCCTAAGGGTACCAGTTGGGCCTCTGAAAACAGTGACACAATGTGGTAATCAGAATGACCAGCTTCCAGGAGAGACCATCTTGTACGGTCAGCTGGTAGAAAATGTATGTTCTATACAGCAGGATGAATACCAACCCTTAAGACACTCTTTCAGTCTAATTATTTTCTTAGTCCGTGTGTTATCATAAACTAATATAATGTTTGATTATTCATAAAAGGTTGGTTGGATAACTTGAAAGCACATGAACTGACTGAAGACAAGTCTTTTGTTCTCAAATCCTGTTAAGAATCTTCCTCTGAAGCAATACATGTAAATACAAGTAAAGTTTACACAATTTGGTTCATGATAAGTCTTTTGTTAAAAGAGATTAATGGCCAGCTTATTTGCTGGTGGTGCTTCTTGTCTTAGTAAAACATAATTCTTAAGGAGTTCAGAAATCATTTAGTCGAAAAAACCCTTGCACTTAATATGAGCTTGACTCATTGCATTCACCTTCCTTTATTTTTTTTTTCTATTCTCCTTTGTGTAGATGAAGAAAAATTAGATGACCGAGCCAAATTAAGCGTAGCTGCAAAGAGGCTGCTTTTTAGAGTAAGTATTACATTTTCTTAATAGAAGGCTGAGGTAAGCATTTCATATCCAAGCTGCTGAAGAACCCAAAGTGTGTTAGAATGAAGTGTAATGCAATTAACCAAGTACAAGCTACATAACTTTTTTTACTCCATCTCGCCTATCTACACAGTAGACCTATTGCTCCAAAGCCTTCTTTAAGGTCATTTAGAGAGATGTGTAGTTAGTTCTAACTCCATGGCCCCTACTGTGCAATTACATCCTGCTTCTAATTCAGAGATAGGCATTTGGGAAATTTACTACTTTGCCTGCAAGAAGCTAAAAAGAAAGTACTGTTTTAGAACTTTTCTTCCATGGTTTTAATTATGACGTATGTCCTCTTAGGAAATGGAAAAATCATTTGAAATGAAAAATATTCCGAAGCCACCTACAAGAAGTTCAGCAGTACAGAGGAGACTGCGGCGTTTGCAGGATAGGTCGCACACACAACCAGTTACCAGTGAGGAAGTGGTCATTGCAGCTACGTAAGTCTTGTACATATGTTGGCTCTAACTTTGGTTCCTGCTTTTAAATCTGGGAATAAATTCCATATATGTGGTGTTTACAACTTTGTAGCAAGGAAAACATTTATTGTTAAGGCCTAACTTCCTTGAGAACCACGGGGGAAACCATGTTGAAATTCCTTTTTAGAAGTAGAGGGACTAATAAATCATAACTTGTATGAGCTGTAATTTGTCAGAAACCTTGTGAACCTATAGATTATGTAAACAGGATTAATCATAGCATTGTTTTGTAACTCAAATGAAAAAGAAGCTTTGACCTGAGGGAAATCTGCATAATTTCTTATGGAATGTATTTGTATTGGGGAAGACCATTTACACTCTGCAATCTCAAATGCACATTTTGGAAATGCATTTCGTGCACTCTGGTCATACATCATGAAGTTTTCCTGAAAAAATGAAAGTTGCTTTTGGGCAAAATTAAACGAAGGTGAATGGACATTCACCTAATGATCTACAGAAAGATAGCTTATGTTATGGGTGATAAGTAACTTCAAGAGACAACCCATTTGCTTCTCTAGGTTTTTAGTTCCTTCAAGGTACTTGAAGTTTTTCTGCAAAGGATGCATCAGATAACTCAGTTAATTAAAAATCATTGCTGTTTGTTTTTTTTCTGTTTTGGTTTGGTTTGGTTTTGGTCTTTTCTGTAGTTAACACTTAATGTATTGCTTCTCTTAATGCTTTTTTCTTCTCTCTCCCTGTGAATTTTCCCTCCTTGGCAATTCTTTAAAGTGAATCTACCCCTGCTTCACGTTCTGTGAATACCCACACAGTAGTGACAAGAGTACCTAGTCCCACTGTAGTTAAGAGCACTGTACAACCTATCAGGTACTGGGGGGGATAAACATGCATGTTACATGGAGCACAAGATTCCTCAATAGCGGATGCATCTTTACAGTCTTGAATGTCTTTTCAATGTGTCAAGTCAATACTCATTTCAAGAATATTTAAAACATTCATCAACGTCATTTATGTTTGCATGATAAAACAGTGCAGCTTTTTTTTTTTGTCAAGTGTCTGTTTTCAGGACCTTTCTAACCACACTTACCTGTTCTAGAAGCATATTCTTCTTTGTAAAAGACAAGAATTTGCATGTGGGCAAACCTAGCAGAACCCTCTTTGCTCTTGTACTTTTTTTTTTTTATACAGCAGTCTAATCTTGAGATGAAAGTACCAAACCTGGGTACTTGATTTCACAAGCAGTACATATCCTCTTTGTATGTCTCTACATATATTTTTTTAGCTTGCAAAATTAAAGGAAAGATAAGAAATTGCACCACCTATAGGTAAAGTTGCAGAATATTGTTTGCCTGTTCTGAATGAGAATTTTAGCAGAGACCACGACAGAAAAAAGAAAAGAGAATACTGATAATTCCATAAATGTGACTGAAGGGGAAGAAATTATATTATTGTAGAGAATAATAAAATATATTCTTGTAGAGACGAATGCAGTTACAGCTTTTATGAATGAACGCGTCTGCCTTCAGCATTGGTCAAACAATCTTCAAAATCAACGGAGTATACTCCATTCAAAAATATTTTTTGTTGTTGGTCTACCCCAGATAATTCAAAACAAAAGACAATCTGAATTCTGTTCCACTTCAAATTATAAAAGGAATTACAATATATGCTAACCTAAAAGCAGCACTAACTTGAAATTTAAATCAGTCTTTTAAATGTTTTTATCATATATGCTCCACAAATTATTTCTAATAAGATTGAATTTTACATAAATTTCACTGTAGGACCCATGTTTGTTCTACAGCAAACACCTTAAATGTCTCTCTGTAGCTCTGTATTCTGTATAAAGAAATTGGTCTGAAAAGTCTCTCTTCAATCTTGAGTTTCCCTTTTAAAAAATTGTTGTGTCCTAATCAAATGAATTTGTGAATGAAAGTTTAACTTTTTTTAAATCTTCAGCTATTGAATTAGAATTCATCATGCCAATGTTGAACCACTGCATAACCACTTAGGCTGCTATATTACATTGGCTCTTGTGCTTCATGTGCAGTTCTGCTTCTATCAGGTTGAGATTTTAAAACTTCCTAACAGCTTCTTCAAAACTCATTTCCAGTTCTATTTCTTCAGCTTGCAGGCATCAGCACACCAAAAAATTTTAGCTAAAGAAGAGATAAGAGCAGCCAAAGAGGCCATGGGGCAAGATCAGTCTGATGAACCAGATTCTTCCACCTTAAGTTTGGCAGAAAAGATGGCTTTGTTTAACAAACTGTCTCAACCAGTATCCAGGGCCATCTCCACAAGGAGTCGAGGAGATATTAGGCACAGGAGAATGAACGCTCGTTACCAGACTCAGCCGGTCACTCTTGGAGAAGTTGAGCAGGTAAGTGCAATCTTAGCTCTTCTTCATTTGTTTCTTTTTATTAGAGAAAACAGCTTCAGTGTAAGATGCGGTAGCAGTCGGCCTTCTCTTTGCTCTGAGATGCACACGGGGTCATGACATACTCACAGGGAAAAGCTTGTCAGGAAGCAGTCTTCTGACATTGAGGAACAACATCCTCTGAAACGTTCAGCTTCAGTGTGGTTTTTTTTCAGTAAATCAAGAGTATATCATCTCTCTGATTAGTGCATGATGTACCTTTCACAGTGTTTGTCTTTTCTGGTAGAATATTACATGTCTTCTAAAAGTAAATTCCTGACCAAAAGTGTAAAAACTGTGACGTATCATCATGCTTCAGATGTATTTTCAGGGAATTCTGGAGCTTTGTCATGTGCAACTTTCAGACTCTTTCCTGAAAGCACTATATATTTCTATTATTAGTCAGGTCGTATTCTGTCATTTTCCTCTGGGAGGGGGGCATTGATCTTTATTCTTATTTTTTACCCTGAAAGCAGAATACTTTTGAAATTCAGAAAGTCACGATCAAAATTAAATTATGTAATATGTGGAGTGGAATTAGGCTTCCTGTTCTGGAATCCTTCATATAATTGGAACTGCAAAGGAATGCCTTTTTAGTGAAGTTTGAGCACAAGATGGCCCAGCAGTGGTCATTCAGAGCTGATGGTCACAATTGCAGAAACACTAGTCCCTTAGTATTACAGCTTTAAAAGAAATCACTTTAACAGTGAAGCACAACTCCTGTGCATGTTGTGTTCCTGGGCATCTGGATCAGTCTGAGTGTTAGAAAGTTTCTACCCTTCTCTTTCTCTATGCTTCATTCATGATTATATATTTTCCATATTATAATAATAGAATAGTGAGAAGACAGGATTTCTCTAACCACATTGGTTCAAACCTGTACAAATATATCATTGTACTTTATGCCTACTTTACTTAGGCATGAAATTGTAGTAAATATTTGGCAGGGTTTTTTTAGCAACATTTCCAGACCTTACATAGTCCTCTCTCCATTCATTTTCCCCATGCCAACCACTGTCACAGCCTGACCTCTTTAATGATGGTGTCACTAACTTGTCTGGGGGCCTGGAAGGTGATCAACAGAAATGGGCTGAAGCAGATGAGAAAGAAGTGACAGTCACATTAGTTTGCCAGACTTTTACAGAATGAACTTGCTCTTCAAGCAAGGAAATGCAGAGGAAGCATGTTTTGTCATCAATTTCTGAACCTAGCAAAAGAAACCAGGGTTGAATCTGAAACAAGTTGAATGGGAGTGGGTTTTCAAAAAGACTTTCTATAGTGAACTGTTCATTTTGGAGTGCTGGGATGTTTTGAGATGCAGTTACAGTTTTTCTTGGAAGAAACAAAAGAAAGGTATCAAAACAGATAATTAGAGGCTACATTACTTAAATACACAATTGCAAATGTAAATATTCTGTAAATAAAGCTGAAATCCTTTTGCTGATCTATAAATTTCTAATTCTGATAGATGCAATGGAAAAAGAGTAAACTGGTAATTATTTTCTTAATCTTTCTTTGGAATCTTTGAGCTAGCATAGTATTCTTTGCTCTGCTTTCCAATTTATTTAATGAATGTGTTGTCCATGCTTTATGGAATTTGCATGTGCATTTTAAGTTTTCAGTTGATTTCCCCCTACTGGTGTGATTTTGTTTATTCCTTTTGCATGCTGTTCACTAGTCCTGCGGTTTAAGAAAACAACAAAAAAAGCCAATCAGAAAACCTCTTCTGATGTGTATGGAGGCATGTTTGTGAGTCTCTTTCATAGCTTTTTGTCTCCTTTGGCGAAGACAAAGCCAAGGTCTGCATTTCATAAAAATTTTGCATCTTAACTGTCTCTAGGAAAACTTTATGAAATTATTTTGTTAGAAGAGTAGAAAAGATAATTTTTCCAGTGTGGAGGCTGGCAAAGCAAATTTGGAGGTTTTTTAATACGCTTCCTAGATTTAAATACTTTGCTCAGGGATGTACGTGACAGCCAGTGTTTATATTTGAGAAAATCTTAGACTAACAGTCCGAGGTGAAGGTGATTTATGTGGCAGAAGCATCAGGAATGTCTGCCCTATGTAGGACAGCACGGAGCAGAGTCTCTCTCTGGCACTGAGCTAGCTCCAGAGCTGGAAGCTGCATAACTGTATCAGAGCAGAGCTGTGCCAAAGCTAATTAGTCCTACTGAGATGCAGAGTTGATTAGCCTGGGCACATGGCATGTCATCCGGTGTCTGGAACCTGAACTAATTTCTTTCCCCAGTGCTGCGCAGTACCACGCCAGTATGAGTCTTTTCATGGAGCCCTGACACAATGTCATGTTGCATGCTACGCATACACCTTTTATTACTAAAGATGTTGCTGTTCACATGCAGTCGTTTCTTCCCTGGGTAGAATAATCCATCTGCAGCCAAATTATGGGGGCATTGTTGCCCTCCTTATCTCTTTCTGGTCTCTTTATAGAGCACTATATTCATATGGAAGCACACCTCTGAAGAACTGACGTGATTAGAGAGTTTGGGGGAATTGATGATTTCAGAGCTTTTAAGGTTTGGGGAGTGGTTTTTGTTTGTTTTTGTTTTTATGTTTTTTTTTCTTCATAGGTACAAAATGAAAGTGGAAAAATTACTCCCCTGTCAACTGCAGTTGCAACATCAGTTTCAACGATGGCATCTGCCCTTTCTCCGCTCTATGCTGGAGACCTGCACGTGAAGCCAGCTAGTGATGGAAGCATGAGTGCCACCACTAGAGCTGATCTGAGATTCCACTATTCAGCAGAAAACTCAGACTCTTCAGGAAAATGCACACAGATGTCAGAACAGTGGCAGCCGTCAATGGAAGCGTTAGAAAGCAAAAGAGCATCAAAGAAACATGAAGATGAGAGAAAGAGGTTTTTAGTACATGAAGCTAATGAAATTACAAAGTACAGCTCCTTTGAGGAAGAAACCACACATCCTGTTCCTGAAAAAACAGGAGACTATCATAAAGAGACAACATATGGCTTCCTGAGGAAGGGCAGCATGGAACTGTTTAGTTCACAAGCACTTTTTCAGCCTCTTGAACAGAAGGAAATCGATACTGGCATGCAAGGTAAGTGGGAAGTCAAAGGCGGCCAGTCCTTTGAAGAAAAGATGGATTTGGAAAGTGTTATGAAAAGCAAGACATTGCAAAGAGGTGAAGTATATGCTTGTTATTGGTGTAGTCTCATTCAGCAAATGGTGGTGTTTCTCTAGTTTTAAATGACTTAATTTCAAGCATTATCAGGGCTGGTTATGTTTCCTTTTTTTAACACTGCTTAAAAGTAGAGAAATACCTGTGAAATCTTAAGTTTTACAAATACAGTTTTCTCTTTATTATTCCTTCAATTCTTCAGTCTTTACAGATGGCTCATATTTATTCAGATTTTCTTACTTAAAAAAAGTGGTATTATATACTGAACCTAAGATTTATCCTTCCCTCTTTTGCCCTTGCCCCTGCCCGCCAAAATGCTGAGCAAACTAAATTTGCTGCTCTAGGTCAAGTGTCTGCTCTTAATTGTTGCCTTCTCGTGCATATATAGTTAAGTATTAACTACATATGTACATATATAGCTAGTAGTGGATAATTTTTAGGTAACTAATTTTGCAAAATTAGTATTATTTTCTCTTCGATATGATGACAAAATATAAACCAAGTAATTCTCAGAGCAATTACATTTCTATATGCACAGTGTAATTCAAACTTAATAAACTTGCCCACTTTAAAGAAAAGTGCTTTAGAAATAATCAATTTGGTCATTTCGTAAAGCCTTCTGTTGTGTTGAATTTAGAAGGCTGTTGTATTATTTTTCTGTTTTATTATGATGGGGTACAGGACCACAGTACCCTGTAGTGCTAGAAGCATTTTTATCTTCATCCTGTGAAGTTAATTTCTTTTGAATTTAATGGCCTTTGAACAGGCGTAGGGAATAAGGTATAGTTCTGCCTGTATTCCTCAAAAGTGGTGTCCGTTCTATCCAATTAACTTTCAGTGACTGCAGGGGAGATGGAGGCTGGGATAAAACAGGAGCAGTCATGTATCAGAGGGGTGTTGTGTTTGTAAAATTTCAGAAAGAAAAATGAAGATCACTTATATTTCCCTAAGGATAACTGTAATGGTGCATTTATCTTTCATCAAGGCAGTTTTTCCTGTGGTTTAATTGCTGCTTGAAAAAAACAAAACCAAAAAAGCCTCCAACACCCTCCTAGAAAGTACCACCTTTGTCAAGCTATTAAATGTCCTCCTAGTATGCTACTTATGCATTAAACTGCTTTACCAGTAAGTTCATTTATTATTTAAATTTTGTATGCTTTTGTTCCCCTCTCACTTTCATCTATGCATTTGTTTTCCTGTTGGAGTGATGACAGAAGCAGCAGTTTGTGCCTCATCCATACGAAGTCCAGAATTCTGTATTAAACATGATATTCTGTGGCTTCATATGAATTTCAGTCACAAATGGCCAGTCTGTGCAGCAGATAATATTGCACGATTAGTCTTTGTACTCTAGCTCAGCCAGAAATTTTTTCTCTGTTAGGATAGCATGCGATTTGAATGTTAGAAACCAGATTTGCTGCTTCAGTGTTAATGTAAAATATGTATGAGAATAACACTAAATCTAATTCAGCACTTCTCTTTTGAATGGACAGACCATGCTGAGCCTACTCCTGAACTCACCGGCACATCAGCAATGAGGACAGTTTCACAAACTGCAGCTGCAGCATCCTGTAGACTGCAGGAGCTCTCCGAACAATTGGAAGGCAAATTTTGTAAGAATTCCTGTGAGATGTTTTCTGTTGGAGAGAACAAAACACAAACAGCTGAGGATGTCCTTGATAATTCCAGCAAAACAATGTCAATTAAGGAAAGGTACTTAAGTTTCACTTTTTAAAAAATTATCTCTATAAATATAGTTATTAGACCGATGATATAAAAAGAAGCTTTCAACCTGTTTCTGAAAAAGTTAAGCAGTGATTATTAGGCTTCATTACATGTCAAAAACTAACAGCAGAAGCATGCAGCTAATCTGCCTGACATACTTATAAAGCAGATGATGGTAAATGAGAATTGCTGTTCAAGACAACATGATAATCTGATCTTGAAAGAGCCACCTGAATAATCAATAAGTAGTTCAGAAAATTAAAGTTCTAAAAATCCATGTTCTAGTTACATTTATAGTGATATACTCAGTATAATTCCCCAGGTTCTGCTCTCAGTTACAACAGGTATAATGTGACGATTTTCTTTTAATAGCCAGACTTTTGTTGGTCTATGGGAGTTTCTTTTAAATAAGCTGAGTACAGTGGGTCAGGGATAGACTCTGTGTTGTTTCCCTCTCTTATTTCAGAAATACGTGGTTGCCATTTTGACTTCTGAGAGCTTACTGAACCAATTTTAAAAGGGTAATAAGTTGGACAGGTTTGTGGGACTGTTAGAAATATTTTTTCCAACTCCAGATCATTCTGATCTGAAACAAAACATTAAATGTTCTTTGCTTGTGTGGACAGTAGGAGTTCATGCTGGAGCTCCAATAGCTGTTATAGTACTTGTAAAAGTCATTCTAATCTAGTTAAAACTTTGAGAGTATAAACTCAGCCCAAGACTGTAAAAGGATCTGGTACAGTGCAGTGAATAAAATTATGATTATTTGCTTCAGGTTGACAAATAAGCATATTTTTGCTTCAGTTTTTCTGTAGTGAAAGCAGAACCAACAAATGAAAAAAGCTGCATGATCAAACTTTCACTGTGCAAAAGTATTCCTTTATGTGGTAAGGTGGGTGTGGTATTAGGAGCTCCTAACTATTTTTTTTTTCCCCCAAAGCATGCTGCTTAAATTCATGTATTTTGAAGAGTCATGTAAGTCATCCTCATTTACAGAGCATCCCCACTCCCTGTTATCCTCTTAACATAAAGAGGGGGTGCAGGGACAGCTACAACAGCTGTGCAGTCTTAGAAGGATGTAGTTACCTTTTTCAGTTTACTGTTTTGTTTAAAGCAGCCTTCATTCCCCTGTCCCCGCCCTGTAAATATGTCAACTGTCTGGGCAGGTAAGTTTTAAGACCAGTAACATCTGGTTTATAGGTGGTAAATTATCTGCCTTTCCTGATCCTGGTGGAGGAAAAGAGGTTGGAGGGAAGGGAAGATCCAAGTATTAGCAGCTGTTTCAGTCCTAAATTTCATGCTTCAGTTGAGTTGATCTCTTGAGGATCTGATGTTGAAGACTATCAGTCACATTCACAATCTGGAATTGCTTTCATTAGGCCTCCAAGACTGTTTAGTCAGTTCCAAAGCTGACAAAAGAAAATACCTGCTTTCTTGTCAGTAATTTGTATATTCTGATTCCACAAATGTCTGTAAATGGCAAAGCTGGTATCAAAATGTTTTAGCCTCCCAAAATACCACAGTAGTCTACTTCTTGGCCTAAAATAAAAAAACTACAGTCATTTTCTTTTGCTTCACTATAGCTGATGCCAAGTATTCATAAACCTCAAAGAACATTTCTGCTAAAGATTAACTATTATACTTTAAATTATTTTTCTTTCCTTTTACATTCACTAACTTCATCTTCCCATCCAGTGGATTTTTCTGGCTGTGTCAGACATTCTTTCACCTTATGGAAGAACAGCTTTTCCACAGATGTAATGAATGATATTTGGGCAGGATGCATGCATGCTGGTCTGGATGAAAGTGATTTTCCACAAAGATTTACTTACCTGAACTGATATTATCCTTGTGGAGTGAGTGCGTGCCTGGCATTTTCAGCATTACCTATATTATATGGAAGAATTAAAATCATTTTTTTTCAAGGAAGAAAAGGCACTGATCCTCTTTTCTTCTGCAAATATGCAGCTTGGAGGTGAGAAGGAGCAAGGCTCATATCTTTTAGTAGTTTTGGCTGAGTTTTGTTTTAGGCAGACAAGGCCAATCCACTGATGTGTTATATATGAGTGTTAGAAATCCTTCTTTTAATTGTCTTGCCTTCAGGAAGACGAGAGTCTTTGAGAACTTCGAATGGACCATCAGCTGCATGTTACTACCTGTCTTTGTACGTTTATGGAGATCAGAGTTGCTAGAACGCCACCCTATCAGCTCATCTTTATAAGTCAGCTGCATGCCACAATCACCATTTAAAAAAAAAGTATGGCTAACTTAATTTCTGATGAGCGTCTTACTGTCATTCATTCCTTCTCGGGAAGAGCTCAGCCTAAACTTAATTTTCAACCTGTTTTGATGATGACTTGCCAGAACAAGTCTCTCTTATGCAGACTAGTCCCCACTATAGTGAATATATGAACTCTCTAACAGTCAGCTTCATTTTTGTAGTTACTTATCTCATATTGACCAAGAATTTATGATTTAGCTGAAAAGAACTGGTCAAGTGCAGCCAATGGAGTACGTGTGAAAGACAAGCCTACATCCAGTTCAATTTGTCTCAAGGATAACACTAGCAGCTAAGATACTAAAATATTGCCACAGAAGAAAGATGTGTCATTTTTGACATTTTTTGCCAGGACTTTTGCCAAGGCCTTTCATGCAGTGCCTCCTTGTTTAGTGTCCTGGTTCGGGCTGGAATACAGTTAATGTCTCTCTTTGGGAACTAGAATAGTGCTGTGTTTTGAATTCAGCATTGGGTTTGTATGAGAAGAATGCTGATAGCACACTGATGTTTTCGGCCTCTGCTGAGATTTCAAGGACTCTCCAACTCCCCGTGTCCTGCCCGTGCACTAGTGCACAAGAAGCAGGGAGGGAGCACGGACAGAGCACCAGACCCAAACTGGCCAATGAAATATTCCATATCATGGAACATCATGCTCACTGTATAGGGGAGGGGTGGTTGGGAAGGGGCTCTCTCGCTTCCGGGATTGCGATTGCGGGATCTTGGTATTTCGGGATCGCTGGCCGGGAACAGGCTGGGGATTGGTCAGCGGGTGGTGAGCAATTGCATTGTGCATTGCCAATTTATATTTTCTATTACTGTCACTGTTTTCATTTTATTACCATTATTAAACTGTTTCTACCTCAACCTGCAAGTCTCCCTTTACCCCTCCAATTCCCTCCCCCATTCCCAGGTAGTAGGGGAGGGTGGGTGAGCGGCTGTGTGGTGTTTGGCTGCCGAGCTGGCTCAAATCATGACATTTAGGCAAAACCATTGTTCAAATTTTGTTTCTATTTCCCTGCAGTATTAATCCAACATTTTGCCTTCAGCTGTGGAAGCTTTTGTTTTGAAACCATCCTGACACCTCTTTTTTTTCTTTTTTTTTTAAAAAAAAAAAAAAAAAAAGAGTAAAACTGATTTTTTTCAGATTGGAAAAGGAAATTTTGGAGGCAAAAGTGAAAAACTAGAGTTACTCAATGAACCTAGCAGGCAGCAGGCCTTAAACAAATCCAAGGGTTAGACCAAATAATTGCCTTATTTTTGCTGACTTTCCAAAGAATCAACTGCTACCTACTTTGAGGTAAGCTACTGAGCTAGTGGGCTTGCTTATATGAACCATTTTGGTAGATCTTGCATACTTATTCATACAAAAGGGTGCCCTCCAATTGTTCCCGAGTCAGGGCAGTCTGAGTTTATTGCTGTTTCTTTCCATCACTCAAAACGAATGTGTGGCTTTAGGTTTTACACAGCAGTGAAATTATCAATGGCATACAGGGCATACATGTTTCTTTAAGTGGTGATTTCATTGCTCAAAACAGACAAACATATGTTCTTACTCTAGGAATGAGTTGTTTCCTTACACATACAAGTAAAAAAGTAGAAGACTAGTATGAATCCATCCTTAGGACAGATGAGAAAACAAAGTCTTCAGAGACACAGAAGCATTCCTAGAATTAGAGATTTTTCTCTTCCTGATTAAGCAGTGGTTTTGGGGCAAAGGTCTAGAGTGAATAACCTGCAGTACTGCCTGGTTAAAAAAAAAAAAAAATTATTTTTCTGCCTGCTATGCTTAGCAGCTGTAGACATTTTTAGAAATAAACCTATCTTAGGCCAAAGCTGACCAAAATACCTTCCAGCTTTAATTACCATAGATCATTTTTAAGGATAGCTGACCTGAGAGATCATAACCACTGAAGATAATTCAACTGCATGGTGGCAATTCAGTCCCATCTTGGTCTCCTCCACAGTTTCACACATGCATGGATGCACTCCAGAAGATTAGTTCTGGGCAGTGAAATCTTGTATACATTCTGGAAACAATGACCATGGCCTCAACTCCTTATTGTGAGTCCTTCTCACCCCTACTCATCCTGTGCTGTGAGGTATGAAGCAACCAGGCAATGTGAAGCCTGCCACTGCTGCCTGCCTGGGCAGAAAGAGAAGAAATAACTGCTTTCTTGAGTACTAACATTCTTAGTGCCATTGTATTCTGTGGATTTACTGTTTTCTGCATTCTCGGTTTTCAAATGACTGCCTTAGGACCAATTGGTCATCCTTCAGTAGGTCAGCAGCATTGTTGTACCCTCTGGATTTTTGCAGGAAGCAGCTGCCTGAAACTTGGCTTCTGGTTAGGCCTATTCGGTCCTACCCTTCCCTTCTCCTCAGAGTTTCAAGACAAGACTTACTGTAAGGGTAACAATAATTGCATCTCTAAAAAGGCATCTCTATATCCTGTGGTCAAAATAGGTTTAACTACTGGACCTGTTCAGATATTAATACGGTTAAGGGTTTCGTATAATCCTTACTGAAATGCTTTAGATTAAAGAAAATTATGTAGTAAAACTTAATTCAACTAAAATAAAAATTATTTAGGGGACCAATACAACTGTTTGCAGAGGTACCACAGATACACGTTTTATGGATTACTAAGCATGATTTCTGAAAGTTAGAAAATTCATACAAATACTAATTTTTGAGGAAGGTGAGATGAAGATCATGCCTGTGTAGACCTTGTGTAGATCTATGACTTCCCCTACCGCCCAAAACTAATCACTTCAGGGTTTGTGTGGACAAACAGGTTCTAATTCTAGCAAAATAAATATACGTGCTCTCCCTACCAGAGTCAGTCAGAGTTCCTTTGTGCTATATTCAGAATTTTGCTCAAGGTTAGGAAATAACACTTTCAAAAGATCCTACTTACATGCAATTAATGGTAATCCACATTTTAAATATAAGACATCCTTTAAAGAAGTTGAATCTTGTAGATAGATTTCACAGCTGTAGTATAGTTAGCACCACGTTACTAGTGCACTGGTACTGCTGATTTGTGTCACAGAAATGACAGAGCTAAGCAAGGAGATACTAAGTAATTCCTAGGAATACCATAGTAACCTCAGTCACTGGAGTTGTAGTGAAAGTAGTAACTGCATAGTAGACCTCTTTCTTCTTGGCTTTTAAAGAAAGTAGTTTTTTAATCTTTTTTTTTTTTTTTTTTTTTTTTTTAATGAGCACAATAAAGACCAAAGGTAGGATTCATCTTATTAACTTTGGACATCTACAGCATAAGCATCCATAGCTGAACCTAGTCACGCTCTGTGCCTTAGCAGCAGAAGGGAGGGAAAAAAAACAGTGATTAATCTAACCTATTTATATGTCTACTTTAAGATGATTTTTGTTGTACCTTGGTCTCCCTTGACTGTATTGGCAGCTTCCACTGACTGTACAGATTAACTGCAGTGCCTGTCTCAGATCTAGATGTCTCTGTTTTGACAGATGATTCCCATTCAACGTGTTCAATAAAGGCTTGGTGTTTGTTTGTGAGCTTTGTATATGTGTATGAAATGTAAATAACTATAGTTAATGTTATAAAATTTCATTTCAAATTCTCTTGAATGCAGCATTAGTGAAACAACAAGGATAGCTTTTGAGGGTAGCAAGAAGTACAGTGTTTAAAGCTACCTGGCATGGTTTTTATTCTAGGTTGGCATTGCTGAAGAAGAGTGGTGAAGAAGATTGGAAGAGCAGGCTTGGCAAAAAGCAGGAGTACACAAAAGTATCTGTCACTGATCGTAGTGCACAAATGCAAGAAGTTGATCAGCTGTTGAAGAAGGTAACTCTATCATTGTTTGGAAAAAACATCTTGCTTGAAATGCTTCAGCTTTTTGAAAATGCATCCAACTAGACAAGCATGCCTAATATTAGCTACTAGCTTCTGCTATTCCTCTTGTTGTCAGGCCTGTTTAAAAAACAATTCTTCCAACATGAGAGATTTTTAAATGAGAATGTCTTCACTGTCCTGGGACATATAATATTGTTTAGACTGTCTTTACATCAGCAGATTATGATCCAGTAAGTGGGCCTGTAAGGCTTTTCGAACATTTACAGGTATAACGATTTAAGAGTTTTTTCCCTGCAGTGAAATTGGCTTAAGACTTTAATTTCAGATGTTTTCTTTATCATGAGCGAGCCTGTAAAAAGTTCAGATTCCTAAAGCTGTGTTGTGTCTGTGCATACAGATTTTTTTGAGCAATAATTTTGGTTCCTAGAAATACTGAGGAAATGCAGGTACCAGAGCATTCATGAGCTTATCTTGCATGATCTTTTGGTGTTTGTGGATAGCCAAAACCATCTGGACAAGGATTTTATTTGTCTCATCAGTGTTAGTGAGTAGATGGGTAGAAAGGTGTAAAGGAAAGGGCGGTTCATGTTGTTGGCACACTCTGGCTATGTCTATACCTGAGTAAGATATGTGGCTAAGCAGGAGTGGATCTGTAAAGCAGAATGATTACTGGTGAGAACCTGCTATCCATACCATACTTGCTTGTTTTGCTTTAGACTAAATTTAGCCTGTTCCAGTGGCCCTACTACTGTTAGCAGCCATGGAGTTACATGGTAATCCAAGAGTGTGCTTCAGGGCTTAATTTCATCCAAAAGTCTGTGCGTTCTGCAATGTGAACCAAAGCACAGAAAGTAAGGATGACTGAGGAGACTTGCTTCAAAACGGACTGCTGGTTCAAACTACAGGACCAATGCAGACTTGCTTCCCTTCTGAGTCTAGTATTTTGAAAATGCCAGTGTCAGATAAAGTAGGCTGTTTCAAAAGCCTTTAATTTTTGAAGGAGTATGTTCACATATTACAAATGAAGATAAAATTTTTGTTATAAAATTTACTAGTGGGGACAGTAATCTTTGGATCCAATTATTTAGTTGTGAAAACGGTGCTTCTATTAAATAGTATAGGCAAACAATAATAAAAAGTATCGTGTTTCATCAGTATATTACAAGTAAGTTGTTGTTACACAGTCTTTTATTATCGAGGATAAATCTGTGCCTGAACATGTGACTCATCAATGGTTGTGTGTTAACTGGACATAAAAACATTAAAGCTGATTTCTGCAGTTTAGTTTATGGGTTTTGTTTTGGCTTTGCCCTGCGTACTTGCTTAAAAATCCAGTTGCTAGTTTGAAAGCTGTCCTAAAGCAAAAATAGTTTCAGCGAGGAAAGCAAAATTGTGGTCACATTTTTAACAGGCTAGTCTCCAAAATGACAACTGTTGAGATCAGATAACAAATGCACTCCAGCTAAAGACAATGAGGTTGAGAAAAAGCTTTAAGCAGCTGCCAAGATTTAGGCAGAGGCAAAACCTTTGTTCTCCCTTCTGGCTCCCCAGCACCCATATCCTCCCTGCTGTGTTAACCATGTGCAGCAACTTCACTCAGCACAAGTTAGACTTTTAAAGCAAGTAAGGGAGCGTGAAGTGCTTGAAGGGTACAAGCTTTGAAGTGACAATGCTAGCAGTGGGAGTTTCTGTGACACGGGGTCACCCACTCTGTTGGTTCATGTTAACTCTTGGCTATTTAGAGCCTAAATCAAAGGATTTGCATGTCTGTCAATGGATGAAATCTTGGACATGTAAGAAAAAAATGTTCGTCTTATTAGATCCACAACTCCCTGAATTGTATTGATATTTGTGATGCCGATTCGTTATGTGATATATGATAAATAATGTAAAGCTTCACTGATTTGACCACACTGCTTACAACACACCATGTCAGCTGCCCTTGAATCTGTAGATACTGTTATTGATAATTAATCAATGTGATGGCTGTTATCCTCTGAGAACCATGATGCAGTGTGCCACTGAAGCCTCTATTTGTAAAAGAGCTTTGAGACCACGATGTATTTAATCTTAGTACTTTCTGTTGCTAGATTGCAATAAAAAAATCAAGAATTGTATTGATTACTGTGTTGAGCTAGTTAAAACACAATTTCCACACACGGCAGTCATGCATCAACGGCAAGGGAGTATGAATTTCTCTCATGCCCTGCTGGTTCAAAATAATGCCTGAGGTTTTCAGCTGCAGCATGTCATTCCTACTAATGTAGTCAGATACATTTTTAGGTTTTCTTTTGTGTGTGTGTGTCTCTTAAAAGGTTATCTAGCGTGTTCTGGAGATCTGATTATTGAAGCACAGCTGTGTAAAATAGAATTTATTAGAGTACATTTACATTTCTTACAACAGAAGTTGAAAGATTCATACTCTTAATAAAATAGTTACATTAAATAGTGCTGTTTGATCACTTCTCGTCAAAATGCTTCTTCAGTTGTCTGCACGGTGAGGTATTTCTCCAAATGTTATAGTCATTTATATGTAGGCTAAACTGTAGAAAAACCATAAAATTAGTGGAAAAGCTGACAGAACAACCTCAAATGGGGGGAAAAAAGGGACTACGAAATTAACTCAAGGAGATACAGATGAGGGGGAAAGTTGAGATTTACTTAGAGATTCAGCATCTGTTTTGATGATTGGTGCACATAGGAAAATTTGTTGGAAGTTGTGAGACTTCTTAAATTATTTATATGTATGGTAAAACATACTTGGACAATTCAAAGAATAGCTCTAACATCAGGGGAACAACTGTACACTGAGGAATGTCTTACTGGAAAAAAAATCCCTTTTATTTGGGAAAAACATTTTGGATTTAATATATTTGTATTCATCATCTTAGGTTGGATGGAAGACTTCCAGTTTGTTGGGTTTTTTTGCATGGGTAGAAAAATTAACTATAAAATCTTCCCTGAATATCAAAATAGTGAGATTTACTGGAATGAAAATTCCTATTTTATAGTCAGCCATTTTTAACAGGGTCCCTTATTAATGTGATTACCAGCTGCATTGCAGTAGCATTAAAGTAGTGAATGACATTTCAAATGCACTTAATTCTTTGAGCAAGTTCAGATTGCAGCTCAGCACTGTGTTAAGGGCTAGGGCTGAACAGTCATTTCAAAATAACTCAAAAATGGTGTGTTTAAATATCTTGAAAGGGGTAAGCCCTTAAAAAGTGACCTTTAGGTAAAATATTAGTCTCTTGCTGTGGTAATAGTTTTATCCATTTCATATATGGCATCCACCAAGTGCTCGTATCCAGCTCTAATCAAACCTGAAACTCTAATGCTTAGACTTTGTTTTGAGCCACTCTAATGAGCTACATTTACCCATATTCTGTGCAATGTTCCACATTTGCTTTAACCTGTAAAAACCTATAGATGACAAATCCATGTCTAATCTGCTTGGTTAAGCCCAGAACTGAGGCAGAGTTTATGCATGGGCTTTGTTTAGAATGATGAACTCACCTTTGCGGAGTGCTGTGGGCTTAGCAATTCCCTCCAGGTGGCTTTTGAGTTAACCCAGTTTTAGTAAGCATTCTTTCCCTTCATCCAGAAAATAGATGGATTGTTATTTAGCAGGGTCTGATTAAACTTGCAGCAGAACCATTCCCATTGTAGTTGACATGGTTCATCAGTTTAATGGTGCATGAAAACAGAAACGTATGAAAAGTGTATCTTTTGACTGTGCTGTTCCATTCTGTGTTGAGTTGTAGTGATACCATTACTAACTTCTTTAATTCCTGCATGGAATGACTTTGATAAACATGCTGTTGTATTATGACAACAATTTTGATCTCTGGCTTTCCAATAGGGAAAACATCGCTAGAAGATTAAAATACTCATTTTAAGAAATTTGGGGAAGATGAATTATTACCCCACATCTCCATTTCTGATAGTCCAGTTCTTCTCTAATTCCTTTGCTTTGCTTCTGTCCTTGTCATAGGAACCTGTATATGCTTCTACTTACTCTCCCGTTATACCTGCTCTCCATAAATTTCATCCTTTTCTACCTATTAATCAGGTGAGCAAATGTCTACACAATTTAAATGCTCAACAACTTCAAATAAGCACATTTTGATTGTTTGGGGTTTTTTAAATAGGAAATTAATAATCCTCTTAACTGATTAACCAGTTTAGTAAATGCTGCGTTAAAGAAATATAGTGTTATGCCACTGTGCTGTGTACTCTTCTTCAAAATACATTCTGCTAGTGTTTCTCTTATGGTTGCTTTTCTAAAAAGTCTGTATCTGTTAGACTGTAAATGTGAGAAAGTAAATAAAGGGGACATTGTTGCGTTCATTATAACACTGAAAATTTGCAAGTTGCTAAAAAGGGTATATAAACGGAGCAATATGTAACTGCACAGCATTATTTTAGAATAAAATGCTGTGTACCCTGACTTGTCTGTAATGTGCATATACAATGTAAGACATAAAATCATTTAAATTATTGACTGTAAAAAACAAGCTGCTTTTGTTCAGAGGTAACTTTCCTATAATGCTTCTCGCTACTCCCTGTCTAAAGGATTTTTGCCTTGGCACATCCTGCTTCTATTCTCTGACTGTCCCATCTTCCCACTTCTCTCTCTCTTTCTTCCTTTAAGGTCTGTAGTACTAGTTTGAAAGAATCAAGCTCTGTGATTTCTGATGAACGTCATCCTTGGAGATGGAAGGTGAAATGCTGTATAAGCTTCCTATTTAATTATTGGAGGGAGGAGTAAGACAGAAAATTACATTCAGACCTAAGATGCACATTTCCAAAGCAACTTGTGGCAACAGAGTTAACTTTGTGTTTACTTGGGAATAGAGTTCTGCTGCTGTTCCAGTAAATGTTAGAGAAGCTTCAGGTGAAGTGCTCTTAAAATCATGTCCATACCTCTGTAATTCCATCATAAACAATTCAAAGAATTTATGAAGAATTAATAGATAATGAGAAATATAAGCTTTCTTCAGATAGAGCTATATAGCAAACTTGTCTTTGAGCAGCAGTAGAATACTGGATCTTGATCTGAGCAAACAGTACCTGTTACATATGGTCAGAGGTACAAAAAAGCAAAGGTGGCAGTAGGCAAAGAAACAAGCTGAATTAAAACATGAGAAAACAAGGAGAGTTCACTGGAAGGTCTCAATAGATCTATGCAAATCTAATTCTGCTTTATTACACCTCGTTGTCCCTCATCTCACAGCTCAGATCTGTGGTTGTAGTACCACAAGGAATCCATTGGGTTCTTCATTCCCACACAAAATACAGTATGTGTTGCATGTGGGGAGCATTCTGATCAGCATGCGTAATGGCAGTGAATCCAAGGGGCAGATATTCACTGCTAGAAGAGAGGATGATGATTATGGCAGAGGTTACTGGAACTATGATAAACATTTCGACTACTTATAGTTACTATTTCCATGTTCACTTTCATAGCTGGTTTTGAGTATGATCTTTTACTCTGATTTTTTTTTTTTTTTTTAATTAAAAATTAAATTTGGGGCTAGTAACTGAAATGTGTTAGTGTTACCTCTTGTCTGTTTTTAATATAGCTTTTTATTTAATACAAGAAAGCTCTGGATTGAATATAGCTTTATAAGTATTTACTTCAGATAACCTATTAATTTTGTTATGACAGAGTTCACCAGCTCTATATATCTAGAAGGTAAATATATAGCCTAACTGAATAACATAATATCCCTCCCATAGTGAGAGGAGGCCCTTTAGTGGACTGCTCATCCCATCTCTTTTGAAAGGGGAACACTCAAAAAGTGTTCATCTTTCCACTGACAGTGGTGAGCTACATCCTGTCCTCTTAGAAGGCTGCTTCCTTCTAGCATAGTGTCAAGGTGCATACAGATTTGTTTGGGTTTTTTCCTGGCATATTAATCATTTTGTTGTTTGCAGTAAATATGAGTTCAGTATGTTCTATTTTGCTCAAACCACTTTTGAACAGAAAGCAGTGCATTTGTATTTGGGTTTTCTCCTTATAACAAGACCCATATAAAGTTGCAGAGGAAAACAATGCAGGAACTTTTCCATACTTGTACAACTGTTGGATTTTTCTTGTGCTTTTTTTGTCTTAGGAGCCTAAACTAGAGAAGTTACTTGTATTAAAAAGCAAATAGACAGCTTTTGGATTCTTCTTGTATTTAATTTGTAACCCTGGTTTTAAATGGTTTTGAAAAATACATTTTTTTTATGTTTATTCTTGGTTTGGACTCCCCCAGATAGGGGCAGTCTTGATCTTCCACATAGAAAACCATGAATTCTCTTATTTCTTGCATCAAAAACCAAAACAAAGCCCCAAACAACAAACCAGCATGCTAACAGACCAGTCTCAGCTGTGTTCTCATAACCTAAAGGGGACACTGCTTGCACTGGAAAATTGTAGGGTAAAAAATGTAGCATTGCCTAGAAGTGGGCCTTTTCTTCGCTGATGCTGCAAAATCAGTGGAGTGCCTCAAGAAATGTGTTGCATTACTAGAAAAGACCAATGTCATCACCCAACCTAGCCAAGAAGTGGGAGAAAATTAATCTCTGCCTCTAACTGTTCTTGCATCCAGTCTGTAACTCCTTCTCAGACTTAAACCAGATCTTTTAGAAAAATATACAGTCTTTATTCTAAATTTTCAACATACAGAAAATTCACTGCAATGTTGAGTAATTTTTCATGTGTAATTACTCTCACTGGGTAAAACATAACTCTTAACACTCTCTTCAGAAAATATAAATATTCATCTGGTTTAATCTGAGGTAGATTTTTTTTCAAATCTTGAAAAAATATTTTAGCCCTCTGAAAGCTTTCAAAATTGTCAGCATCCTGGATAGAAGTGTAGAAGCTAGAAATGGATGAGCTATTGCAGTACAGATTATCTGTTCAAAACAACCATCCCATGGGAATTTTTCTCATCTTTTTCTGTCTTCCTAATTGGCTGGATTTTGCTTGTTTCCCTTTTCAAATACAGTCCTCTTAAAAGCCTAATTTATCAGATTTTTATGATAACCTTTTTTTACCCATCTATGTGATTATTTCTTCTTTATCTTTGCCACTCTTCTTTATGTTGGTGTCATCCTGAAGGTCTTCTCAGTAGAACTGTATCTTTTTTCCACATGCATGAAAACATTTTGATCAAAGTTGGGACAAATCAGATCACTGCATGTCTCTCTTCTATTTAGAAATAATTTTTCAGTCAGTTAACTAGTTTGCAGCCTGTAAGCTGCACTGATATTTTTACATCACTCAAAAAAAATCAGATTGTTATCTGTGATTAACTCAAATATATTAAAGAAATCAGAGGTAACTGTTAACATATTTAATCATACTTGATCTCATCAAACTTACCATTTTGATTAAACCTGTTTTCCATAATGCCATGTGGAATGGCATTAATTACATGCCTCTGCTTTGATTCTGTATTGATTGTTTTACATCAGTCTTCCCATGAGTGTCTGGAACAGCCCACAGCTTATGTGACCTGTACCTACATGCTTTAGTTCTCCTTCCAACTACTGGCCCCATCTGAGCTTTTATCAGTCCTATACATTTTCTCATTTTCAAAGGCTTTTTTTAAAAATCACTGCTTGTGTTCAGGGCATTTCCTCTTCCAGTTATTTCATGTTGTTGGATGCTAATTCATCTGATCCTTTTTCTGTTTTGCTTCATTTTAGGAATTTATCATTAGTCTAATACAAGAGAAATTGATGAGCACTTGGATGTATTTTTTCATTACAAATTAGGATATTTCATTGAATGTAATGCCTTTTTTGTTTAATGGAAAAATAGCATTGGAACTGTTGTCTTCCTAAGCTTTTATTTATTCCTGATACACTAAAATAATTACTGTTTTGGCTTTTTATTGGAGTCTTTAGTTCCCCTTAACAAAGTGTCACAGCTACAAATTTGAGATTTATTCTTCTTTCATACCTTATTTTTTTTTTAACTTGGAAATAAAATTTGCACGTAAAACCTTGTCAAGTTTTACTTTTATTGCCATATTTTCTGCCAGCCAGAATGTGCTTTGACCAACTCATTCCTCTATAAATGCTGTCATTTGTGAATTGTGAAGGCTTTCTAAACTACTCCCAATTACCAGGTGTATTTGTTCTGAAATTTCTCTTGACAAATGTGTTGGCTCATGTTACTTTTCCGGCTGTAGAAAATTATTCTTTCTTTTAAGCATTGCATATACTTTTGTTTTTCACCAGGACTGTTATAGCAATTAAATGGGTGAAGGGTTGCTTGGTGTCTATTCAGCTTATAATTTATTTTACTCAATTTGTTTATTAATAGAGGAAGGTGGGAGTCTTCATGAATTACGAAGAGATCTAATACAGAATTGCTCAGAATTTTGTAACATACACATCCAGTCTGATTTATTATTTTTTTTTTTAGGAACTCCAAGGATGTTTTAACCAACAGAGCAGCTTGAAATCTCTTATAAAAAAAAAAAAAATGCTTGTTTCTACTGTTAGACAGCTATTTACTCTCTTTTGTCCTTTGACAAGGCTTCAGAATTACTCATGATTTTTCTTACATATGTAGTGATTAACACGTATGCGTGTGTCTTCAGAATCTCCAGTAGTCCTGCAGACTGGAGCTTCAGGTATTTGCTGGAGACAAAATTCAAAGTTAAGCCCTCTGACACTTAAAAAAATACATATAAATAATACATAGAAAGAATTCATATGACTCTACTTCTTCCTGCCTCTCCCTCATTTCCCCTCATATAGTAATCAAAGTCAGCATCCTCACTAAGTTAAAAGTATTTATTTTCTGTATAAAATTTCACCTGTGGTTTCATTAGGTATATATTAATTTCATGCCAAGATCTCCTTTAGTATGCTGCTGTGGGGTTTTTTCCTACCAGCTGTTCATCCCAGAGGTACCTGTGCTTCAGACATTGGAATGGGTAGAACTTGGTGAAAGTGAGCAGAGATTACTTCCAGTGTTTTTATTTAAAGTATTCAGATGCTTTTACAGAAGAGGAAGCAATATTGAATAGACTTGCATCTTGTTATTTCTACTGAATGTTTCAGAGTTCTAGGAAAGAATCAGAGGTTTTTACTGTGATTATCATGACTTGCAGTCATAGTGTCTGGCTGCCCAGCTATCTTTCCTAATAAATTGAGAGCAAGGCTGTAGAGTTACACAGAACCAGAGGAAGGAGTGGAGGGCTCTCATGTCCTAGTCTTTGTACAAGCCACTTGGTGGCTTGTCTTTACTCTTCTGGCTGATGGATACTGTTCCTGGTAAATGCTGAAATCTAAGAAATCTCTATTTTGGTGTGTCCTCTATAGTTACATGAGTTTTTATATAAAGTGTCTGATCTATTTAGTCTGTTTGGTTTTAAGAAAAGCAAAAATTAAGACTATCTGGATTTATATTTATTGCTTGTATCCTGAAACAGAGAACATTTACTTTATGTTCACAAGTTTTTGGGTCCTTTTTCATTTCCTCTCTGTGCTTGTATGAGCTAGAGATGAGATAAAGCTTTAGATTTCATGTGTTTCTTCAATTCTAGCAGCTAGGCTGAGAAAAAAAATGCCAAATGGCACACAACTTAGAAGTAATTCTAGTTAATAGTCCCATACACTAAAAATACTTTTATACTTGATTTCTTTGCAGAATAATCCCTAAAATGTTACTAATTTTTTAAGTGCATTGAAGCAATATTTCTTCAGTCTAACTACAGCAAATGTGTAAATTTGTTGGTTTTCCTATTTAATGTACCCTCATCAATTCTTTGTGCTAGGAGGGCACTAAGATACTTAGTGCTCCTAGCTGCTTCTAATTGCTCAAGCTGTTGGCTGCTACCCCCTAAAACAAGCAAGGAAAGTTGAGGGTGACCTAAAAAAAAAAAAAAAAAGGTGGGGGGGAGTTCACAGTCATTGGAAGAATATTCAGTAGAGCAAGCTGACATGAGAGTGAGTGGCCTCTGGGAGAGATAAGGCTGATTCTGCCTGGAGAATTGACTTACTGTAAGAGAGTGATTCAGAAATCACAAACTGAAGTTATACTTCTTCATTGTTATTCCCTGCGCCACCTGCAGATTTGCACATTTGGAAACATCTGCTGAAAGTCAGTTTAGTGATCTCACTAGTGTAGCAAGTCATGCTTCAAAGGAACAAGGTCTGGAAAATTATATCATATGCAGCATAACTTGTTTGCTTTGCTTAGAGGGATGCCATTTGCCTTGGCTGGTAGTTCCAAGAAAAGGTCAGAGAGCATAAACCAAAACCTTATCTTCACGGTGTAATGGGCAGCAAGACAATGAAGCTTGTCAGGGTCACTAAACTGTGTCTGTGACACTCCTTTAGTAGCTTGTTTTCCTATTCTCTTCCTTATGCAGCTAGCAGTTGAAATGTTCAGCCAGTCCTTTGCTATATACTGGTCAGTTTATCTATTTTTTAAACATCTCTTTCTCTTTTCCCCCAAAAAAGCAGAGAGTGGCAGATAACCAGGAGAGTCAGATGACCATTGAAGAAAGGAAACACCTGATTACAGCTCGAGAAGAAGCCTGGAAGTCCAAGGGTAAAGGAGCAGCCAATGATTCCACACAGTTCACTGTAGCTGGCCGGATGGTAAAAAAAGGTCAGTGATGAAATGATCCTAATACAAATAAGCCACGGCTTATCTGTCCAGTCAAAATAAAGTTAAGCTAAAGCTGTACAGAAACGGTATGCATGTTCAGCAAGAGGAGGACTCTCTATCTTCAGTTGAATATCCTGTTATGAGGCTGTTCGTTCTGGCTTCTAGTGGCCATTGGTATTGATCCATTTTGTTCTGCACTGTTGCACTACCATCCAGTTATTACTGGGCTCTGTCTGACTGGTGGTAGTCAATCACTTGAACAGTCAGATGTTTTGGTTTTCTTTCTAATACAACCCAGAGGGCACAGTGGATTATTCTTTCTTATTTATTCTTCCTTTGAAAACCCAGGTGCACTGTCTAGAGAAAAGTTGTGAAATCTAGTCGTTGCTATTGCTGGCACTTCCCCCGCTCCTAGGGTCACTGGGAATATTTAGCAAACATGTGTTACTTTTATGGATGCTGTTTTGGACAACAACTTGAAGTGTTGTGTTTGGCTAAAGAAATCACTGAACAGATTTCTGCATAGAACGAAGGATTAGAAATGACAAGGGAGCAATGTTGACATTTTTGGGATTTCTTGAATTCAGTCACTGTTTTCAGATGCAATCATTCTTCTGAAGTGGACAGGAGTCTCTGGAGTCTGTACATGATAGAAATATAGCTGTTCATGCAGTGTGCCTGGCAAGATGATAGCTTTGGGAAGAAGGCACCTAAACTGATCTCTTGTGGTTAATGAATGCTATCTTTTGTTTTGTTACAAGCACTTGATTATTAAACACAACAACAATGAACCTTGAGTTAAATGATAACCACCAAAAAAAATCATTGTGGGGTGAGGGCAGTATTGCAACAGGGAGTAACTATTTGCAATCCAAGCCACATTCTGTTGGCAAACAGATACCTCCTATTAGGACTTGTATCTATTAATAACATATTTCAGCTGCTCCTTACATTGTTTTGCTTCTAGGATCACCAGTGGCCAGTGTTTAAATACTAACCTGTTTTGGAGAGTCACCAAGACAGTGTTCAGTTGTCCACAGACTGCTTTTTGAGATATTTTTGTCAAATAGATTGTTCTATGGAAAGAAAGAGAGGGCGATAGCATTTGCTCTTCTTAATGGGAAAAGAAAAATACCTTGAAAGCATCTTTTTAGGTGCTACGATTGTTCTTTTGGAGAAGCAAGGTAATCCTGTGACAGTGACATCAATAAAAGTAGCCCAAGTGAGGTTTTATTCAGTTGTGTGCTATTTTTGTTGACTAAAAGAATAAATTACCATGATGAGTTTTTAATTTAAGACATGCAAAATTAAAGAAGCAATGCAAAATTAAATCCTTGTTACATACATGTGCACAGATGCTTCATTTTAATTGCTTCTTACGGCTCAAAGTGTTCAGTCCTAATTGAAAGATGGTCCTTTACTAACATCTGTAGTGGTTCTCATTGTGGTCTTGTGGATTAAGTCCTGGGAGAGCTCTTTAAGAGCTGTGTCCTCTCAAATGCAACTTGATGTAGGCTTTATCAGTTGATTTAAAACCTGCTGGAATTTTGAGTCTCTTAGGTAACAAAGAAAAAAATTATTTGTGGAAAAGGTACTTGATTATATTCTAAATCTGTCTTGGTGTTTGACAATTATGACTTGCTAGGAGTTGCAGTAAAGATAGTGGAAACATGGTTAGTATATATTCTCCCAGCACAATATCAGTTTATCTGATCAAAATAACTAAAGCCATTAACTTATGTGGCTCAGTAACTAGTAAGCTATGGCTAAGTGGAAAATAGATATTAGAGGCAAGTTTAAATGTCAGTTTCCCCATTTACTGTAAGTGTAGGCAACAAGATGTAATAGATGCAATTCATTGCTTCAGTATACCTTTCTACATAATAAAAACCGTGAAACCTATAGAGTGCCATTTCTCTTACTGGAGCAGTGCAGATCCACATGAAAAGAACTAAACAAAAATCTTATTTTATCCACTGGGTCCACAATTAATTGCTTTATAATAGTTACTAAAAATTAGGGAGGAGGGTACAAACAAAAGGAGGGAGTAGTGCTTACTATGATGGGGGCTCTGACTTCCATTTCTAGTTCCATTTCCATGTGTTCTTAAAAACACAACAGGGCCCAAGAATTACTGCTTAATCCAGGCACAGCATTCACAGGTCAGATGCATCCTCCTATGTGCATTAATAGAGATGGGTTTAAATTTAAAAAAGGGGATGACGGGGTGGTCGTGAAGGTGCCAAGCAAGATCTTGGTAGTTTCCTTTTTGTTCCGAACAGTTGCATGTTTTTGAGGTGTGGCTTGTCGTAGAACTGGAGTCCAAAATGAAGACCAAGTGTTCTGCTGCTACCTTGAGAACAAGCAAAATTACCGTATTCAAGAGAAAACATTTATCAAGGGTGCTTATGGACCCTTGGAAACAAAGCTTTGTCATTGTGAACTGTGTGTTGGGACAGCTTCTGAGGCTGCTGTTGATTTAAGGAGCAGGCAGGGCAGTACACTCTATCATCTCTAATATAACAGTTGTGGAGGCTGAGGAAGTATGAGGGACTGTAGGAAATGGCCAGGCTCGTCTGCTTTCCCTAAATAGCTTACGCTGTCATCATTGTTGGAAACGTGGACTGACCTTGGACCGCATTTCCTATGTTCTCTGTTCTCACACAGGCCTGGCTTCTCCAAGTGCGCTAACACCAGTATCATCCCCTTTCAGTAACCGGCAAAAGTCTACCACACCAGTTACAAAGCCCTTAGAAGGTAAGAAATAAAAATAGCTGAAATAGGCTCAGGCTATTTTATTTCCTGTCAATTAACAAGTTTTACTTTCTGGTTTGCTTAGAAATTGAAGCCAGGCCTGATATGCAATTGGAATCAGATATGAAGCTTGACAAGCTGGAGTCGTTCTTGGGAAGGCTGAATAACAAAGGTTGGTGGAGTTACCAAAGGTGGCAATGTATCCACTCTCTGACTTCAGTAAATTGCTTAAAGGACCTCTTAATTAAAATATCTGGTGACAGAAACTGAATATTTCTTTGTTCAGACTGCATTTACTGATCTCACACAGTTTATTTTTGTGATTTGGTCTTTGTTAAATTTTAACAAAAAAGCCTTATGCTGTTGTACTACAAATGCACAATAGAATAAATCACAAACGACAAAATAACTTTCATCTTTCTCTACACACAATGTACACATTCTAATTGAGAGCAAAATTTCTTAAAACCACACAGCCATTTCTGAACCAGATTGCCATATACAGTGAAACAGCTTTAAATGTAGTTTAATCATATTAAAATCAAGATAGGACACTAAGTTGCTCCCAAGCACAATTCACTCACTTTCTTGCTTTTTTGAAAACTGACTCTCTGTAACAGCTCGTACACCTTGTTGGCTACCTATGAAGCTGGCTAAAGTTCTCTGGTGTTTCCATCTCATATGTCTGTCCTCCATTTGTAAGACAAAAATCCTTTGTAATTTGTAGGGTGTCAAATACCACAAACAAATTTATTCACATTTCAGCAGGGGAGGCACTACCATAGGATAATGATTGTGCCATAGTCACTAGTCTGAAGTAGTGACTTTTCCACTTGGAGTTCTCCTTTCAAAGGAAGGAATAATGTGGTTGGAGGCAGGATGGAATGTGCAAGACCATAAAACGCTTTTATCACCCTACCAAAACAACTCATTTTTGATAGTGCCTAACTTTTCATTCAGCCATATTTCCCAACCACTTTGTAATAAAGCTTACTGCATATGAGTAGCAGTTACACTTCATTTTTATCATTCTTTTCCAACAGACTTTTCTATGATCTCTCCTTCAAGTTCCATTAATTACAAACAAACAAACAAACAAAAAAACCCCATCACCACTACCCTAAAAAAGGCAAAAACCAAACAAGCCATGTTTACCTTTTCTAGAGTTAGAAAATCTAATATGATTATTTATTGGGTGAGGTGTTTTTTCCTGCAGTTGCTGGGATGCAGGAGACAGTGCTGACAGTTACAGGAAAATCTGTGAAAGAGGTGATGAAGCTGGATGATGATGAAACATTTTCCAAATTTTATCGCCATGTGGATTTCCCTTCTTCCTCAATGCCTTTGGACCTTGATGAGGACTTTGATGCCATCTTTGATCCTTATGCACCGAAGTAAGAACTACTGTGTTGTTTTTTTTTTTTTTTTCCCACTGTTATGAATGCAGACATAGAGGCAGTGGTCTAAATGTTCAGCTTGAAGTCATCTTATAGACATCTTAGTACACTGGGCATTTCCATTTCTTCTACACAGTTCTGGAATCACTCTTCTGCCTGAATCAAGGAACTGATCCTGATTTCCTATCAAATGTCACATCCAAAATCAAAGCAAATCTCTTGTCATTAGATGATTCTGACTACAAAAATTAACTGATGATTATAAACACTGTTTGTTTTTCAGGTTAATATCTTCTGTAGCAGAGCACAAACGTGCAGTTAGGCCTACGCGCAGAGTCCAGTCCTCAAGAAACCCCTTGAAAATGCTGGCAGCAAGAGACGATATTCTTCATGAATATACTGAACAAAGACTGAATGTTGCCTTCATGGAGTCAAAGAGAATGAAAGTAGAAAAAAGTAAGCTAACAGGATGATTTATATAAGACACTATCTTGCTCTTTTAATTAAAAACAAAACAAAAAACCCCAACACAAAAACCACAATTGAAGGAATGGAACATACTCTCTGAGAGGCTATAAATTGATTGAGGAATAAGCTTGAATGTAGACTGTCTAGGAGGTTTGGACAGAGGGGCATATGTGACTCAGTCAAGGAAAGCTACCTACAGCTGCCTCCTGTGCATAGGTTTAATTATTTAATTTTAGCACTATCACCTTGTGCAGAGAGTGCCACTGCGCCTGCAAGGTGAAGACAGGAGATTAAGGAGATCAGATCTAGCATTACATTATGCTGGGAGGGGAGAGCTGGCAAGAAGAGATGAACTTTTGTTCAGGTACACTGGTCTCAATTTTGGGTCCTAGTTTTCTCTCAGAAGCTGCAATTATCCTACTTGACTTTGAAAGATTAATTTTCATAAAGGATCAGTGTTCTGTTCCAGGGCTTTGTGTTTTACATGTGATGTTACTTTCTCCTGACAATCAGACAGACAGGAAGAGACATTATTGTAAAATTTATTCAAAGGTTTGTCAAGCCACTTTTACCATTCTGGGTACAAGTTTTCCTTATTACATTTGAATAAAGGAAAATCAACTTTAAATATTACCTGTATTGATGAAAACACTAATTATATGTGTAATACTTTTGCCATTTGATGAGAAGCATTTCCCCAAGTTATAAATTCTTCAAGTGCTTTGTCTTTGGTTGAGAAATAAGCAAAAGTAGCCAAGGCTTCAAGTTTACAGTAAAACATGACTAAAACTTTGAAATGTAAATGGATGTTGCATCACACTGGCTGAGACAAATTTTAAGGGAATTTCAGTTAATTAGCCTTGACTACTCTGCTGTCTTTTATCATTGATCAATTATAAGGCATTGAAGATCTACACAGTATTTCACAAAACATTGTGTAAGACATGTTTCTTAGCAAAGTTGGTATTTCTGACAAATAATGTAATTCTGACACTGACAGTTTACTCTTGGATGACATCTAGAAACTTAAGTACTACTAGACCCACAAAGCTTTTGGGCTAGCAGTTAATGTGAGTTCAGCCTGGTATTGCTGTTGCTATTGAGAAGGAGAAAATGGAAATAATGAGGGGAAATAATTTTTTTAAATGCAACAACCAATTTTTTTTATACTTTTGTCTTTTGTGTCTTTTTTCTCCAATGTTTTTTTTATGTAAAAGTGTCTACAAACTCAAATTTCTCAGAAGTAGCACTTGCTGGCTTGGCAAGCAAAGAGAACTTCAGCAATGTTAGCCTGCGGAGTGTTAATCTAACAGAGCAAAACTCTAACAACAGTGCTGTGCCATACAAGAAGCTAATGCTGCTGCAAATTAAAGGTATGCTGGAACTGCTTTTACTTTCCATACTTAACAGGCTGATTGTAACATATGGGAGTTTCTACCACAGTTGGATGCGTAGCTTGTTCTTGATTTCCAGCTTGAGATTTATGTCCAAAACCTAAAAGAATAAGTGAGAACTGTGTGACAAATGCAAAACCTTACAAATAGGTTTGCAGTGTGGCCACTGGTGTGGGTTTTCCAAGGAAAAAAACAAAAAAAAAAACCAAAAGGACTTCTAGCCACCTCCTGTGGAAATTTTTAAACTGTCCCATTCTTCCAGTGCTCAGTATAACTTGGGAGTGACATGACAGTGTTCTTGCTCCACTTCCCCTTACAGTGCACAGTAATGTATTTGATTCTTCAAAATAATAGCTAAATTTTTTGGCAAAATAAAATTCTTAACTTTTTATTGCCTACCAAATCTGTACCATAGCTTCACTTAAACAAATGCAAGAGATTCTGGAATTTGGCTGCTGTCTGCCATTTACTTAATTCATTTCTTTCCAGAAGGACACAAAGTTGTTAAAGCAAGAACAGGAAATAATAGAAATATTAGTTGATAGGAGGAAACATTTTTTTTGCTTCCTGTGAGTAAACCCTTTTTCCACAGTAGTAGTCTTTTAATTCTTCTTTAACAGTCTGTTTCCATGTATTTTGCTAAATGTGCTGGGATTGTTTGTATTTCATTCAAAACAAATTAGATTTTGGCATTTGATAGCAGTAGTCAAAGGAATATAATTAGCTTTGTTTTTTCTTTAGGAAGAAGACATGTTCAAACAAGATTAGTTGAACCAAGGGCCTCGTCACTGAACAGCGGAGACTGTTTCCTGTTGTTAACTCCACATTTCTGTTTCTTATGGGTAGGAGAGTTTGCAAATGTCATAGAAAAAGCAAAGGTTAGTACTAGTAGGGTTTTTATTATTTATTTTTAGAACTGTCACAGCATGTCTCTTAGATGTAATTGAGCTAGTAATTACATCTCTTAGATATAATTGAGATGTAATTGGTGCTAGTTGTCTCAAAAAATGGCATGTAACCGATAGTCAGTGACAGGTAGATATTCAGGATTCCTGTAAATATGTTTTAGCCTGTGCACTGAGTGAAAGCTAACATAGAAATGTGTAGGTTGTGAAGCTGCAAGAGAAAAGAGGATATCCTCAGGAAACAGATTTGCACTCAAACAAAAAATAGTCTGAATTGCAGGATGTCCTTTTTATTCCCATATTCATTAAGATCAAGTCTTGTTTTAAGGCAAATGAAATAATTAATGTATTTCTGTAGCATTTTCTCTAGTGTCTGTTTATTTAGTGCAACAAATAATAATAATTTCTCCTGCTATTTGCTCTGTTATGTCCTAACTACTTTTGCCTTCTCCCTAAACAAGATATGCACAAGTATTCCAAAGACATAAGCAATCTTGTTCAGATAACTGTTAATCTCTTAGGCTTCAGAACTTGCAACTTTAATTCAGACAAAGCGGGAACTTGGCTGTAGAGCTTCTTATATACAGACTATAGAAGAAGGAATAAATACCCATACCCATGCAGCCAAAGACTTCTGGAAACTCCTTGGTGGACAGACAAATTACCAGTGTAAGCATTCTTACAGTTACAGTATCTGATGTTTTATCACAGTAAAATAGTTGAGTTGCTTCTCTTTAGTAAAGATAGTTGGAAGCTAACATTTTTTATTATTTTTGACAATCTTTTTCTGAAGCTGCTGGAAGTCCTGAAGAAGATGAAATGTATGAAGCTGCAATAATAGAAACAAATTGTATCTACCGCCTCGTAGAGGATAAACTCATTCCTGAGGATGACTACTGGGGAAAGGTGCCAAAATGTACCCTGCTACAACCAAAAGAGGTATCGTGCCACTTACTGCTCCTGTGGTAAGTGCAGGAACATACAGCTGATAATGACTTTCAGTAACTGCAAATGCCCATGGAGAGGCTTACTGACAAGTGGGTCCTCTGACCCACTTCAGGTTTCTGAAAAGCTTCTGAACACTTTTCTGTCTAAAGTGTGCTGCAGGTTTTGATAAATTAGATCATGTTATCTTTGAAGTAAAATGCTATTTTAGGAAGTGTAAATCTTTTTGTCAACAGTGGCTCACTCCAAAGTCATGAACTGCAAAACAGGTAGCACATTGGTAAAAAAATAAAAAATAATAAAAAAAAAAAACCTGCTTTCCCTTTCAAGCATTTTGATTTCTATCCTTAGCAGACTTTTCCCTTTCAAACAACTATTTCACCCATCTAATTAGAAATGAGAGCAGATTTCCAAAATAAAGACACAATCTGCTAGTGACCTAGCTACCACCTAAAGATACACTTCATAGCATTCCCCATACTTGCTTCCAGTCATCCTCAACAATTAGATGTTGCAGTGCAGACCCCTGCCCTGGATTTACTTGCATTGCAGTGCTAGTTGTTAGTGTCACTGCAGAAACTGCAGTTTGTGTTCAAAGCACTGTCAGCTTGCAGCACTAGGAAACTGGAGGATCAGAGTATCACCTAACCTAATGGTAGGTTATCTTTTTGTTTTGGTTTGGTTTTTAGGTGCTGGTGTTTGATTTTGGCAGTGAAGTATATGTATGGCATGGAAAAGAAGTTACTTTAGCACAAAGAAAAGTGGCATTCCAGCTGGCAAAACACTTGTGGAATGGTACCTTTGACTACTCCAATTGTGACATAAATCCTCTGGACCCAGGGGAATGCAATCCCCTCATACCCAGGTATCAAAACTTGAGTTTTGACTCAGTGCAGAAACTTAGTTTTCTTGCCCTTATTTCACAGGGTTTAATTTGGTTTTATTTCTTTTGTTCTCTTGTACAGAAAGGGACAAGGACGCCCAGACTGGGCTGTGTTTGGCAGACTCACAGAACATAACGAGACCATACTGTTCAAAGAAAAATTTCTTGATTGGACAGAGCTGAAGAAACTCAATGAGAAGAATTCTAGTGAATCCCTTCACCAGAAGGTACATATAATAAGCATGCTAGGTATTTCAAACTAGATGACCTAGCTGGGATGGAAGCCAGGGACGCTTGTTCTCAAGGATCCAGAGCACTTTCTTTACCTTGCAGGCTTTGACCTAGGGGTCAGAAAATCACCACCTGCAGTGAAGCCACAGAGTTGTTTTATATTAGTGCTGAGCAGCTTAATGAATACTGGCAAGGCATCAATTGATGACAAGATATCAAAGTTCTGAAATCTGCAGGAGTCAAACTGTTTGAGAGGAACTGTGGGGTAAGAAGAAAAATGTTATGCTCAAAGAAATCTCTTCTGTGTTTTTTTTTTTTGACAGGAAGAATCCAGATCTGACTCTAAGCCATATGATGTCATGCTAATGGTAGCTGTGCCCCAAACGACTGTAGGCACAGTCTTGGATGGAATGAATATTGGCCGGGGCTATGGACTTGTAGAAGGAGAAGATGGGAGGCAGTTTGAAATTATCACTGCATCTGTGGATGTCTGGCACATCCTGGAATTTGATTATAGTAGACTGCCTAAGCAAAGCATAGGGCAGTTCCATGAGGGAGACACATATGTGGTGAAGTGGAAGTACATGGTGAGCACTACAGGTTAGTGAACAATTCAATTTCTTCTTTCTGAAACATGGAGAAGTGCGGCTAAAACTGCTGCTGCTAGTAGTAAGATCCAGACCTAGACTTCCTTGGATGTGAAACAGTTTTAAAGGTTAGAAATGCTAATTTAGCCTTCCTAGGCGATTAAGATGTAGAGCTTATTATTTTATTTTGTTTAAAATAAAGAATAAAATTAAAAAATCTGTAGTTATTTTTCATACATAAAATGTAATACTGTCCATCTCTCCTTTTACCCAACAGTGGTGTTGTACGTGTTCACAGGACAGCTCATTAAGCCAGAATTGTGCCCACAGCTTAACACCAAAATAACTAGGCAGCTGGACTAATGACAATGTTCTGAATGTCTTGCAAAAGAGGTAGGCTTAGTAACAAGGAAAGCCTTTGCTGGGTAATGGAGAACAGTAACAACGACAGGAAGAGTCCTTGCCAACTCATTGCCCTTGCTGTCCTTTTTTGTGGTTTCTGGAGATTTCAGTCTCAAGTGGAAAACCTTAGCAGTGTTCTGACAAAGATCCTGAGAGCAGCAGGTAAAATGCTGAGAATCAGTCAGCTCAGTACGTTTATCAGAACTCTCCCTTCTAGCCCTAAACTAACAATAGGTGGCTTTTGTGGTAAGTAAAATAGAAATAGTCTAAAAATTATTGTTCCAAATAGGAAAATATTAAAATTGGTTGAAAGCAGTATAACAGCTATGCAGCTTCAGGCTTTTATCCAAAAAATGTAGGTAGGTCTTATTCAGGATTGTTGAGTTCAGATACTGGCATGTCCAAGAAAAATACAAAAGCTTGTAAGTCTTGGGAGAAGTAGGTAATACTAGTACTGAACTGTAAACAGACTCCTAATCCAAATGGATGAAAATATATTCCATCTCTCCAAAACAGAATAACTCTTTATGTAGGAGGCAGTACTTTTATCGGCTGAATGTACAGATAAGAGTGAAAACCATAAATTTTAGAAGTGACTAGTGGTTTGAGTATTGTCAACTTGAAAAAAATGGGATGCTTTTTTCTAAGTATTTCAGTACAATGCTGCTCAGCACTGTTGAAATCAAGGCAGAAGTTTTAATACTTTTTTAGGAATCTGGTTTAAAGCTCTTGGGGTTTTTTAAAATCTTTGATTTAATTATATACGTTTATTCAGTACTTACTGGAAAGTGTAAAATATTTCATAACTGGTTGTATTGTTGAATTTCACTTGCTGTAAACATTATTTGCTTATCATAACAACTAGATACTGATCCTTTTTAAAAAGAAAAAAAAAAAAAAAAGTTGCTGCTAACCCACTTTCCAGACCAACATGAAATACTGAGTTAATTTTTAAAAATAAATAAATAAAGCTTACCTAATCCTGACTTTTTTATGACTGCAAAATACTGCTTTGGTGTTCTTTTGTTCTGTAGTTTTCCTTTCTAATACCACTTTACCAAGAAAGACTTTACTTTTATGCCTGTAGCTTTCTCAACTGTTGCTGTTTCCAGTATCACTCAGCAGCCAACTACTCTTCCGCTGCCAAAGAACAGGGTGTAATGTGGAAAATGAGCCATAATGCACTCTTCTGGTAACATGACTGGACATACCGTTTCACATGCAAATTGGCTCAAGTGATGTCAGTTATTTTTCTCCAGACAGTACCAGTTCTTTCTACATCTCTTTCTCTGGCCAGCACAAGCATCTCGGCCTGTGGGCTTACATCCACCTGATGAGACAATGCCAGTGTTGCACAGGGACGTACTGGCTTGGAGACCTAATGTTCTTCCAGTTGAACATTTTATCTTTCCTGTTCTGGACAGGATAGTGCTGAGCTGGCAGATGAGATTAAACTACGTGCTGTTTAAACCTATAGCCAGAGTATTTTCTTCAGCATGTGCTTTCTGTTTTGCAGTTGGAAGCAGGCAAAAAGGAGATCAACAAGTAAGGGCTGTTGGAAAAGAGAAATGTGTGTATTTCTTTTGGCAAGGAAGGCACTCCACAGTGAGCGAGAAAGGGACGTCAGCACTGATGACAGTGGAACTTGATGAAGAGAGAGGAGCACAGGTGAGCTTCCTGCAGACCCAGGTGGTAGTCCTGGTAAAACCTGCCTGCCCAAGTAGCCACTAACGATAAACGTGGATTATCTTTTTTGCCTCCTCTCTTTCTTGTAAAGGTGTTCTTGCCAGTACAAATAGCCAGACCTCAAAATTACTTTTGGCTTTATTATAACTTTGAGACACATAAGCTCCTTTATGGCTTGTCATTCCCAAATCCCACTTCTAAAGATGATATTTCTGAGAATGACTGAAGAAGAATATCTTCTCTCCTTGCAGGAATAGGTGAAGCACAGTTAAGCAAATTTGTGCCTTCAGTTCAAGTACATGTTCAGATAACAGGACTGTCTTCCTTGTGCTGAGAACAGGAGAAGCACTTTCTGCCAGGTCAAGGCATGAAAATACATTGGAAATTTTAAATTTATTTACTCTGTAATTACATATCAGATTGCCTTGTTTTACAGAGATTCTAGCAACTACAGATTCAGCTAGTTTGAAACTCAGAGGACAGGCTAGCTTGAATTATCTTTAAGTGCAGTTGGGCTTTGCTGTGGCTTGACTATTACCAGCATACAAGATGGGAGGTTTAAAATTCGTTGCTGTACCTTGATAATGCTGTTGTTAGCTTTTTTAACAGCAGCATAAACATGACCAGTAAGACAGGAGTTCATAGAGGAGATACGTAAATACACTTGATCCAGAGTGTGGGATTCTGTGCAACGTAGCTGGTTAAGCAATTGGCAATATTAGTTTCATGATCACAATGCAATGCTTAATGAAGAACATGCCTGTTGTAATATTAACCAATTTTACAGCAAATTTTGAACCTACTTCAGTTCCTACATTATCTCCATAATAGTTTCAAAGAACATCAGGCATGCTGGCCCAGTTCTGTAAAGAATTCAAATAATGGCTGGTTTAAACTAATGCAGAGTTTATTTGATATTCCTTATCTTTTGAAACTCTTGATTGTTTCAGAGCTAGAGGTTTCTTTTTATATGGAGGTCACATATGAAACCCATTGCATGCTGATAGATATGATAATTTAAACAATAGTCAGCAGTTGTAAAGTAGAAGGAAAGCCATCTTCATGGGTGGCCATAACTATATAATTTTTAATGGTCCATAGAGACTAGTTTTCCTGAGTCTGTATACTTGCTTCATTTTTTTAATTAAGAATGGTGCTTTCAATTTCCAGGTACAAGTGCTTCAAGGGAAAGAACCGCCATGCTTCCTGCAGTGCTTCCAAGGTGGGATGATTGTGCATGCTGGAAGAAGGGAAGAGGAAGAAGAAAATGCACAAAGTAAATTGCTGTTAGTTAAGAGCTTCTGCCCCAAAATCCTTTTAAACCTATTGTGAAGGCCTTTAAATTCAGTCTCAACTGCCATACTCCATAGAAAAGGGAAGCGAATGCCATGAAACCCATGAGACAGCTTTGCAATGCTTTGTTTCAAGGTAGTTTGTTTCTTTGAGCATAGAATGGTTTTTGTCACCCTACAGCAAGCTAACTTTATTGTATTGATATGCATATAAATTGTTCTAGTTGTTTTTTAATCAAGCAAAGTGCCTGTTTGCTTTAAAATACATTTGTTTTATATAGTTTGGGCAAAAGAGTATATAAGCAGTTCTCCCACTCCAAGGAGAACTCTAAGCTTTTGTTACCTATTCATTACTTTTTGCAACACATTCCTTGAATGCTGCAGTTGAGGAAGGAGAACTCCAATGCAGGTGTAGTTTGGACGTATTCCAGTTTGCATCTAAATGTGACCTCCTGTGCCTAAGGTGCACAGGGAAAGAGGAGCTCAATAGAAGAACTACTCTATTTGTCTCCCTTTTTTCCTGTGTGAAACACAGCAGAAACTTGACTCTTCTGCTCTGTTAAGCTCTTCAGCTCTTAATACTTGTACTCTTGTAGCAAGGTTTCAGAAGGCATACTTTCTGCAACAGGGTTTCTCAAGCAGTGTTAGCCAAACCTGATCTTTAGCTAGTTTATTCTGTGACAATACAGGCATGCGATAAGTGAAATTCATCCAATGTGAAAACATCTGTTCCAGAGCAGAGGTCTTGAATTTTCAATCCCATGTGACTGTATAATACTGCTGCACTGTTCCTGTCTGCTCCAGGTGACTGGAGGCTATATTGCGTGCGAGGAGAAGTTCCCAATGAAGGAAACTTACTTGAAGTAGCATGTCACTGCAGCAGCCTGCGTTCCCGGACATCCATGATTGTCCTCAATATAAATAAAGCTCTTATCTACCTGTGGCATGGCTGCAAAGCACAATCTCACACCAAGGATGTAGGAAGAACAGCAGCCAATAAAATAAAAGAACAGTGAGTGTCTGACCTATATTTTGGAGATGTTTATACAGGCTACTAATATACTTAAGATAGTCTGCCTCAAAGAGTAGTTGAAATAAATAAAGCTGTCCTCTGAGTACAACTGCAGCATGTGCATGCTTGGTAAGGAGGAGGAATGACGGGTAGTTGATTTGGTGGAGTGGGGAAAACACATGTTCTGTAATCCCTTTCACTTAAGGTCAAATGCACTTATGCTTCCTGCTGTACTAATTAGAGTTGAAAAAAAAAAAAATACACAAAAAAGTTTCCATTTGGAGGGAGATGGTCAATATCTGAATAGCAAACTAAATCTTGGTTGATAGGAAGATTAGAATTGAGTCTTGTGAATAAGGAAATGAGTTTGGTAAAGAGTGCAAGGAGAGAAGAAGTAGTTACAAAAACAGGCAGGGAGAGTGCCTCCTGAGTGCTCATGTGAACGTCTCCTCCACTCTGGGTGTGTGATCAGAAATGGTATGGCAATGGTTGCTGAAATTCCATAGCTATTTTATTGATAATTTTTGTCATAATTTTCAGAGAGTTGACATGAAGTATGCAACAAGCCTCTATAGGTGTTTTTGGGTTCTTACAATGCAAGTGGCCAGCAGGTTTATGCTAGCTGTGTTCTGGGCAGGAAAGCTGGGTTCACTCTCTTTCTTTGTGTTTTGTAGATGTCCACTGGAGGCAGGGCTGCACAGCAGCAGCAAGGTGACAATACATGAATGTGATGAAGGGTCAGAGCCCTTGGGATTCTGGGATGCATTAGGAAGGAGAGATCGAAAGGCCTACGATTGCATGTTGCAAGGTAGACCTTCATTCCTGGATTTGGCACTCATGTTTCACTTTATTGGTTTATGGTACTGTGAGATTTAATGTAAAGCTTTTGAAGAACTTCTTGGTGCTTTGAGATGATCCCTTCAGAGAGATGCTTCCAAAAATCTACTGAGTTAAATAATACTGTTCTAGAAGGAAAGTACTGGAAAACGAAGTGTTTCATTTTGTTCTCTCCCCCTTCTGCAGCCCCTCTGTATTCTTGTAGCACAGAGCAACACTTAACACTGTTACCAACACATTTTGCTTCTCTTCTGAAGGGATTTAGGAGGCAGTTCTGCACGCATTCTTGTCCAGCTTTTGCTTTAAATCTGCCAACAAAGGTAGCAGGGGGATTGATTTACCAAGTGGAAAATTTGTCAGCTAAAAAGTAAACTCTGAGATGGGCTTGCTTCACTCCAAGCTCCAAAACAGCCAGTTATGAAATCGCTGATAGTAACTAGCCAGGATCAGATTCAAAATGATGGCAGCCAGCCTTTTAGTTGAAGTTCGTCACAGCTGTTGTTGTGACATCTGGTCATCTTCCTTGATTTTTAAAAACCAGAGAATTCAAAGTCACACTAAAAGTTGATTTTTTTTTTTTTTTATTTTTATTTTCTACATTCATCCCTGGCATTTTCTATTGGAAATCTTATTAATTTTTGCTCTTTAAAGATCCTGGAAAGTTTAATTTCACCCCCCGCCTGTTCAGCCTCAGTAGTTCATCAGGAGAATTCTCAGCCACTGAGTACGTTTACCCCTCAAGAGACCCTGCTGTCATCAATTCCATGCCATTCCTGCAAGAGGATCTTTACACTGCACCACAGCCAGGTATGTGCTTTAACATACTTAAGTAACAAGAAAACAGATAACTGTGGTTCTATAACTGTAATCCCTTTTAACTTGTTTTATCACAGGAAATTATGTGCATATGATGCTTTTACAGCATTTAAGCAATAACAGTAATTTTTCCATGACAAAGACATTGAGAACTAATCAAATGTACATGTATCCCAAAAGCTTGCTATAAAAATACTTCGTTTATATCAGAGAATCTGAGTTCAGCTGAGGTTCAGCTGGATGAATAACAAAAGGGATTGGTAAGCTTTGAAATGATCCGGTTCTGGTGCTGGCAAGCATGTAAGACCGGGCTTGTTTAGGGGATTCTGAGAACTAATAAGTGGCTGATGATGAATTCATTATTCTTTGGCTGCGTAGCACTGTTCCTTGTTGACAATCACCATGAAGTGTACCTGTGGCAAGGCTGGTGGCCTGTGGAAAACAAAATTGCTGGATCAGCTCGAATCAGGTGGGCTACAGACAGGAAATGCGCCATGGAGACAGTGCTCCAGTACTGCAAAGGTAACAGATTGCTACGCCTGGCTGTTGGGAGTGCGTCCTACCTTCCCATGCTTTACTGTCCTGAACTGAAAGGTACTCAGGTGCTTCCCCAGTGTTAACAATAAACATCAGTGTATTTTAAGATACATTCTCCACTCTTTCTTAGCAAACCATTTGTCTAGTAATGGCATTGTTCCCAAATTGCCAAGATACTCTGCTGTCTCAGTTCTCAGAGGAAAGGCTTTATTTCTCTTCTATGTCTCCACTGTGAGAGAACAGTTCAGACATCAGAACCCTAAAAGTGAATTCTGAGAACGCATCCTCTTAAACCTGAATGCTTTCTGCCTAGATTCTCTTAGATTTCATAAGCTTCTGTGTATCAAAAGACTGAATGAAGGTACTCTTTGCTAATGTAGCTAGGTTTTGATTTAGTGGGGAGGCGGAAAGACTTTGAAGATCGAGAACAAGTCTCACAAAGAAACAGGTGGCCAGTGGAAATGCTGGAGCACAGAGCCTCAGCTCATTTCTACAGGACAGTTATTGCCACTCAGTGTAAGAGTACACTGACCAGATTTTCTGCACTAGTAGAGTTTCCTTGAGACACTGTAATGTTTTCCTCTCACTTCATCTAAGGTTATGTGAGGTTGGGAACAGACCTTGCATCTTCTGATGGAGGATGAATAAAGAAAGGTGTGGGGTTCCCATCCACAAAAGAGGGCATAAGCAACAGCCATGTTCTGTTAGTTCAGAGCAGTTTCCCACTGTAAGTCACTAGGGCTTAATTGGTACAAGCTATGTCCTCTCGCAAGGAAAGCCTGACAACTTATAGACCTTGAGACCTCATGATGCCACTGATTTCTTCTGTACCAAATAAATTTGACAACTTGTGACACAGCTGGTGGTAATGGTCATCATCTCCCATAGACATTGGTGTATTTGAAGAGGGAAAGCGGTACCCTTGCTGGATTTCACCTTTATGAGGATAAGGCAGTCTCCCCTTCCCAATCTGCAGGTCGAATAGGAAAAAATGCAAGTGTTGTGTTTTCTACACAGTTGTGTCATGTCACTGAGGGGAGGTGGTAACACCTGGCAGGAGACGGCTGAAAACCAGTCCTGGAGACACTGAAACATGACTTTCATTGGACTGTGTTAGTGCTCTGTGTGGTTCATTTTCTGGTGTCCCTGGCACTGCCCTGCCAAACAGCAATTTGTTTTAAGAATGGGGTGCTAAAGATAAGGCAGTAATTGGAAGAGTCTTTGGCAGTGACTACTGAATTCCTAAAGAAGAGGCCAGTTACTTGCACTCCACCACCCGCACCCAGAGTTTTTGCCAGTCAGAAGGAGCGATAAGATGCATTTCTTTGAAATCATTTCATACAATGTGCTTCATAGCAGAAGTGAATGTCAGCATAGAGGAACAGAGCCCCATGTAATGAAGTGCCCAGAGTTGCTCAGCAGGCTACTGAGAGAAACGGAAGTAGGATCCCGGTCTGAGTGTTCCTGATGCAGTGCTGTAATCTCCTGGTAATGAAAATCATGTTTTCTGGCCCCAGCAGAGTTGGAATCAGATACACATGCTGATGTTTGGATACTTTTCCAGGTTTCTTGAACTTCATTTAATTTGATGAGGGGAAAAGGGATTAATACCTTCTGCACTGGTTTGAATTTGCTGCACCCAAGTTTGATGTACAGTGGAAAGCTCTTCAGTGATTGCTTATGGGTCTGAAGTTTAGCATGTGTATCATAGGACAAGTTTTTTTTTTCCGGATGCTCACTTCCTTACCATTGGCCATGACTTTGCAGCAGTTGTGGTTTTATCCTCTTTGCCATGGGGTAGTTCTCAACAGCTTCAGGCTATGTGGTTGGATAGGTACAGAGCAAGTTTGCTCCTGTTAAAGATTGATTCCACTTGTACTACTTCTATGTCAAAGCTGATGTGAACTTCTTTAGCAGTTTTTTACTGTTCAAACTATGCTATTCTGGTGGGCTCTCACTTTCATGATCTGGGATTCTGTCAACCACTTCAAAATTTCATTGCATCAAGCTGTCAGGGCTGACTAGCTGCTCTTCTTGTGTTCTAACTTATCAAGGTAGATAAACTGAATTTCAGGAGATGCCAATGCTGCTGCAGTTGTTTTGACCACCAGAATATAGTTGAGTGATCAGAAGCATTAAAACACTTTTGTCTTATTTTTCTCTTTCCATTTCTTTCTTGGTCTGTGTCCCCCTCTTCCCCGCTCCCCACCACCTTTTTTTTTTTTTTTCTTTTCCTGGCTTGCACTGTTTAACTACATGATGGTGTGAAAGAGATTCATTAGCAACTCAGATATCCCTTGAATATACCTAGCATTTCTCCTTGTGCATAATTCTTATTTAACTTGTTAAAACATCTTGAAAGTTTTTGTATGGTTTTATCTGCTAAGTCAGCAGTCTGGAGAGCTGAACTGCAGACCACTAGGAGAGGGAAGAATCTGGTTTGCTCTTCAGTGATTCTTAGTGAAGAGATCAGCTTGTGCTGAGGACAGAGTTCATGCAATGAAAATGTTTCTCAACTTACATACAAACTCATCATACATACACTAGAACGTCAGCAAATGCCACTCCTTTTATTTCTTGGCTGAATTACTGAGAGTGGAGCAGCACAACTAAAGCAGATTCACACTTTTTTTTAAACACAAAGTTTTTAAGTGCTTGTTGTGTCATTCATGGTAGAATGAACAAATAAACCACAGTGAAAATATGTGGAAGAGAAGGATTAAAATCAAGTATTCAAATGATAAATCTCCTGTCTATAGTTAAAGCACTCACATTCTAATATGTAATACTTCACAGAGCTTTTATCTCTAGTATTCAGAGTTTCATGTGAACATATTCTCTCCAATCAGTTTGTTCTCAACGTCTGATGTAAAGACAAACCTGTAACATTCAGGTTTTGCAGACCTAATGCAACAACAAGGTCCAGCCAGGCTCTCCGTTTGCATTCAGCACAGGTGGTGCATCGGTTCCCTGGGTGCTCCTCGGCAGTGGGGAGGAGGGGGCTGTGTTCTTTTTAGACTCTCTTGCCTGACAGTCCACATACATCAAGTGCAGGTAGGGACTAGAGTAAAAAACAGGGTCTTCCATAATGGATTTATATGCTCTGGAGGAAATCTTAGTGCATTAAAGATGCTCTGAGACTGAATGTAGGGAATAACAAAATTTTGCAAGAGGCAGGTTTGAGGGAAGCTACAGCCCTCAGAAGTGAGGTGATGTTATGTTGCTGTTAGTTTCACCTGATTTTGGGCTATGCAACATCTTCAGCTTTTCCATTGCTTATCTGGAAGAAAGATTTGATTAGACTGAGTTGTTTGAACCCAAGTAAGATGAAGGTAGAGAATTTTTTTTGAATGATAGCTCCTCCCAGTGCCTGACTGCCTGTCTACCTCTTTCCAATAATATTTGGAATTTATCAGTGCCTTTGAATTCTTGGGGAATTAAATCATTCAACCAACAGGGCCTTTTTTCACCAGTTCTTGGCATGATGACTTTAACCACTTCAATCTGATACGGCATCACTCCTAGGCTGGGTTATGTCCACGTCCTAGATAGTGTGCACACATACATGTTTTAAAGAAGTAGGACTGTCTTTGAAAATCATCAGTAATTACCATGAAGCTGTTGCAACACCTCTGTTAACTTTCAGATCCCATTCCTTTGAATTTTTAATAAGAAATTGATTGTGTTAGACCTCAGTATCCCAAGTTAAGAACAATTTAAATATTCTCACTTAAGCCTCCAATCTTAAACTTTATTTGCTGCTGACAGGACACTTCTGTTGAGCATACCAGAAGGTTTCATTTGCCTGAATTTGACTAATTTCAGACCATCATACTCTGCTTACTCTATTCTAACTCTGGTTTTGTAAGGTAAGGAATACATTGGGTTAGGAAGTAACTGGGGGGGATTTTCAGCGTACGTGGTTTGATCTTTGTGGTCAGATGTAGTAGAAGGCAGATTTAAGAATACTGAAAAACATGTTAAAAGGTGCCATGCTGCATTAAAAAAAAATCCTGGTGAAATTTATTCCTACTGCCTTAAATTACTTCAGCTGTTCAGAAAAGGGTCAATTAAACATGCTTACAGGGTAGCTTTGGATAGTGGGTGACATTGCATAATATGGTACTGTTTATAATTTATCTCTTTTTTTTGTATTTTGACTGTTTTTAGGAAAAAATGTAAAGAAGCCCCCAAAATCCTATCTAATCCATGCTGGCCTAGAGCCTCTGACCTTCACTAATATGTTCCCAAGTTGGGAACACAGGGAAGACATTGCAGAGATCACAGAAATGGTAAATCTTTTCATTGCACAGACTGCTTCCTATTGCTAGTAGTTGTGTCCTGTGTTGTCAGTAACATTGCTTGTTTGTGCTGTCAAGCCCTAAAATCCAGAGGATGAACTTAAAAAGTACAGTTCAGGAGCCTGCACAGGAAAACATTAACAACATAGCTGAATTCTGACTGGGAGTGGGATATCAGAAACATTTCTGATTGTTTTTATCATGTAACTTCTTATAATCTTTTTTTGTTAAAAAATGGAGGAAAGCATTATCTGAATCATCTCTTAGAAGGAGATGTGCTAGAGTTGAGCAGAACAACTGTTTCCATCCTGTGAAACAGGCAGCAACGTGCAGTTCTGGTCTGTCCTCCAGGCTCGAAGTGCAGGGGAGCAAAGTGTCCCATGAAGGATCAGCTGGCTCCAAGAGCTCCAGCGCTGACTTCCCCACCTGGGAAGCGGAGTCACAGACGAATTACATGTGACTGCTTTAAAAGCCTTCAGTGAAGGGGCATATCAAGGCAAATGACATTTTGTTTTGTAAGTCTTCTGCAGCCGTCCTTAGTGGAAATGCTGGCTTCATGACTAAACACAGAATTGAGCCTTAACCTGAGAGTACAGGATGTCCTTCTGCTAAGTGCAGACCTTTTTTTAGCTGGGAAATCGTTCAGGGCCGGGCTGTTCGCCTGTGTGTGGACCTGGATGTGTAGCTTTGTGCTCCATGGGCCAGGCGGTGCAGGTTGATCCCGTGCCATCTGCAGAGTGCAGTGGGAGCAGTTTGTGCTTTCAGCATTGTGATCGTGTTCTCTCTTTCCCTTTTCTCCCTTACCAGGATGCTGACGTTTCTAATCAGATAATCCTTGTAGAGGATGTGCTGGCCAAGCTCTGTAAAACGGTGTATCCATTAGCAGATCTCTTAGCTAGGCCTCTACCTGAGGGAGTTGATCCACTGAAGCTTGAAATTTATCTTTCAGATAAGGACTTTGAGGTAAGGAGAGAATAGGTGCACTGTTAATCTCTGCGTGTGTGTCTAACCATACTGTGAAGTCATTTGACAGTTTTGCTGCTTATAAGTGTTTTTACTAATGGCATATCCTCTCATTTCAAATGCAGGTTGCCTTAGAGATGACGAGAGAAGAGTACAATGCACTGCCATCTTGGAAGCAGGTTAATCTGAAGAAGGCAAAAGGACTTTTCTAAATTGTGTTTATTGGAGTGAGCACTAAAGGGATGTCTGTTTTCACTTGTTATGCCCTTTAGAAGAATTGTACCCCACATTTACAAAATAAATAGAAATAATCCGAAGTTATTAGTGACTACCTATCTGGAGGTGTGTAATATTATAACAGGCCAAGAGAACTCTTTAGAAATGGAATTCAATTTCAACTCTTAAAGGTAATGTGTTTAAGCTCTGCTCTCCTATGCACTTAAACAGTAGTTTCTTGAGCTACTGCTGCAGGTGTCCTTTGGCTATATACAATACTTGCCATTTTTGTTTTTGAAGAAGTTCTCTTTGTAAAGTGTTATTTTGTTAGTTTGTGGATTACAAAGAATTTATATTTATATAAACACATAGAACAAGTACGTATTTAACAATGCAATATATATTCACTTTGAAGACTTTCATGTCAAAACTACAGAAAAGTAGCTGGACAGCAGTTGCTTGTACTGAATTAGCTATACCACCTATATTATCTCCTACGTGTTCTGAAAAGTTTCTCTTGCAATAGTTAATGAATTGTTCTCAGTGCTGCTTCAGGTGCTAAACTGAACAAAGCATTTGTATTTATAGCATGGATTTCTTGAGAAACTATGCGAATCAACCTTTATACTTTATTATCCAAAAATGTATAGTGCCTTGTTTTTTGTGTACAGTTTATATACAAAAAAAAAAAAAAAAAGATTGGTCTGCATTTTGAAGATGGCTTAGAATGGTCTCCTATGTTACTTTTATAATAGTAGAAATAAAAGCATCTCAGTTTCTAATACTTGTTGTAAACATTAAACATGTCTTTTGTGATACAAGAACCGAAAGTAAAAGCTTCTGAATAAACTTGTAGCGATGCTCTGACTTGTCATTATTTTGTACTGTTATCTGTACTAAGTCATTGGAACCTTCTATAACATGGTATTTTATCAAAATATTTTAACCTTGGATATCTGTCGGTGTTGTACAGAGTTATATTTTGAGAAGCAGATAATGTAGAAAATAATCAATGTATGAGATAAAATTAGGTTGTGCAACACTTTAAATGCTGAACATCGGAACAATCACACAACTCCTGTATCCTTTGGGTTTCCCTGTTTTATACATGAAATCAAAATTATTATGTTGGTTTTCGAACTTTGAAAAAATCTTTTCAACCTTTGTGCAATTGGGAGTAAAACTTGAACTTAAAACGAGTATGGCATCATGTCTATTCTTTCAATAAGCACTGGAGTCAAAATAGTTTTCATTCAGCTAATTAAGACACTGAATAGAGTAATCGTGTAAAAATTTTCTATTGTTTGAAATGTTTTTCAGGCTTGTGGCATTTCTGTTAACAACTTGTGTGGTTCCCCTTTGGCAGCCTAGTGCGTTTCACATTTTCATTCCTGCCAGAGTAAGATTCCTTCTGCCCTGCAGCCGTCCAGAGCTCCTCCTGCCTCCGGAAAAAGTGATGATCGCCTGCAGTGGTGCCTGCTGCTGCTCTTGTCGTTCTCCTAGGCCCAGGGAAATGAAGCAGGATCTTTGAATGTGTGAGGTGTCGATTTCGTCAAGATCTGCAGTAAATACTGCTCCATAGATAAAATTAATCTTGTCTTGACAGATTGGTTACTAAGTTGTAAGCTAGCCTTTAAATAAATAAACAAAAAGCCTAGAAATTCACAAGTACTGTTCACCTGACCTGAGATATTAGAGGTAAATTTTCAGCACTGCTGTATTTCATTACTGGTTTCTGTCAAGAACTGAAATGAAATAACACAAGAAAATAGTAGCAACAGTATTCGAAGCCAGGATACCTCTTGCATAGCCGCCAGCAAAAGAGATGTTTAGATGTCTCATAGTACCTCAGAGGTCCTCAGCTATGTCTTCTGCATGGGATACACTATTAGTTTGAAAATGCAGGGCTTTATAGCAACAAGTTTATTTTTTAAGTACTGAGAGGTTTCCAAGTCACTGCTATATTAATCTAAGTATTTTTGCACACATGTATTTTCTTCTTTCACCCTCTATGGTGATAAAATCAAGCAGGAATTAAGTTTTGTTTATTCATGTTCAGTGTTTACCGTGGGGGTAGCATGTTCCTCTATTCTGATTTTTCTCTCCAGCAGAGAGCTGATTTGCATAGCATGATTGACCTTGGTTTTCCCTCTGGCAATGTAGTAGCATTTGTTTTTGTTTTTTGAAAACACCATCAGTCCTCCAAGTGCTGCTGAAGGGCAATATCCACCCAACCTTAAAGCCTTTAGAATCTCAGTGAAAAGACAAGACCAGCCAGCATGGAGACCTGCAGGCAGTGAAACTTAATTCTGTGCTGTCAGCTCTCAGAGTTCCCATAATTTTTACACAATTTTTTATCTTGTGTTCCAGTTACAGAAACCCAGACACAGAACCCAACTGTCTACTTAAGTGCTTTGCTTATAGTGTTGCCTAGGAAAGCTTCAAGGTTTTGCAGAAAATATATTTTATTGGTCTTCATATTATTTATAAAAATGGTTTCCTGAAATGTGAAACTGACAACAGAAAGCAAGTCAGTGTAGGACCTCAGACAGAACCGTGGGTTATGTTTTAATTTTCTGCTAGCTTCCCTCTCCACTGTGGGAATGCCATTTATGGTTGGAAATTGGAAAGAGCCATTAAAATGTTCTTCAACTGTTTTTACAGCCCTGCATGGGGAATACAGCTGAAACAGGGTTTGTCTGGGTATGGGGGTGAGATAGTTTTTATGTTTGCATGGGTTATCTAGTGTTGTTTGCTTGTTTCAAATAGACCCCCAAGAATGCACTTAGTATCTAGGATGAATTCAAAGGCAAAAGGTCTGGTACAGGGACTCTGTATGTGAAAAAGTCGGTACCTTGACGATATCATTCTGCATTTTCTGTCAGTCTTGCAGCGTCTAGGCCTTGAGTCATGATTCTTATCTCCTATGGTTTTAAACTACTGGGTCCTGACTTTTAAAAATAGCGCTCTGATTACACAAGCATTCCTGCACACATAAGGATTTGTTAGCAGTGAAATGGGCTGCAAATATGAATACGTTAGTATGCCAAACCATCAAATAAAACTATGTCTGAAAAAATGTGCTGCTTGTATGCTTCAGCCAGAAGAGGAGGGAAAATGGAAGGTAGGCAGGTAAGAGGAGAAAAACCTAATCTTTAGCAGTTTGGGAGAGCTTGTTCCTGTCCACTGCCATCCCACCCATCTCCCAAATGGGTATTTAGCTGAGCAGTTGTGGACCCGTGTGCACAACTGGTGAAAGCTGATTCTGAGCTGCTCTGAAAGCCTGGGGTGCTTTCGTGGGAGCAAGGGCAGCAGCAGGCTGGTGCAGTGGCATCCGAATGCTGCAAAGCCCTGCGGGAGAGCGGCTTTGGCTGCCCCACACGCTCCCCACAGGGCAGCATTAACCCTGCCTGACTGGAGCGGCAGGAGCACAACGTGACCAGTCGCTGCTACTCAGTCTAAACTTCCCTTTTGGATTAAGTAGCAGATGAGGAGAAATAACTCAGTAATATTTCCCAAAGTGCCTGCTTTCCCCATCCCCTTGTGTGGAAACTAAAGTAGGTTTGCAATAATAGGTTATTGCTGCCCAGAAGGAGGAGAAAGCAGCCTGTACCCTCACGCGTGTGAGGCCCCTGTTCACCTGACACGCTCTCCCAGTGCGGTGCTGGGAGCCGGCAGCTGCTGCTGCAGGGAAATCCCTTTTGGGCACGGGGAGAGGATCGTGCTCAGCCAGTCAGTACCGGCTCTGGGGACACACCGTCCCCTTCGCTTCTCACACGGCAACAGCACGGGGTTGGTCATACAAGCCCGAGATGCTGCCATGGGTAGATGAATACTTTTAACCTTCCTCCTGAGATTGAATGTGTGAATGATGTGATGAAGGAGGCTGGGGTTCAAGTGCTTGAAATGTCAGCTTGTTTCTCCTTCCTCTGGTCTTGTATTTCTATGCCTTGTAAGGTTAATGCTGATTCTATGATTTTCCTGTGTTTTGATCAGTGGAGTAAGACGGACACCTGGAAGAAGAGCTAATTGGGAGTAACTCCTCCTTCTGCTGCTATCCTGGTGAGTTGGAAGCTGAAAGTGCCCAAAGAACCATCTGGGGAGTCAGTGCAGTTTCCTCATGCACGCTGGCTCTGTGGCAAAATTTTGTTAAAGTCTGTGACTGTGGGGTAGTGTTGTCACAGTGTTATTTTTTCTCTAGCTAATCCAACTATCCTGGTCCTATAGTAATACAAAAAACCTGATAAAATATTTTAATAATGTTTTTTCCTTCACGTTAAGCCTTAGCATGTGTGCTGTACTGGCCTCTTGCTAGCAGTTGTTTTCTGGGAGCTGACTTCTGAACTTGGAAGTGAGCAAGCGCAAAACCTCTCCACGGACAGAGGCACGGCCCAAATACCCTAAGTATGTAAGTGTGGACAACCCCAGAAAGAAAAGGATAAAGCATCAGGTCTTCCTGCCAGTGGGCAGGAGGGCAATCCCAGGATTATGCTGGTCAGCCACTGCCCTACCTGTGAGGGAACCTGCTGCTCACACACATGGTACCTGCCCACAGGGTGACACCTCTCCAAAACCAGCATCTCAGTTTAGCAAAGGTGCTGGCTGCAAGGCAGCCCACTTGCTGTGACTCACAGGTCGTCTTAAACTCCCCATTTGGCAGCCCCAGGACCTGCTCTCGTGTGGGATTTTCCAGTTTGGTTTTGTGCGACTCGGGGTTAGATGGGGGGAATATGCAGACAAGTGGCAGTATATCTCGTGGGGAGGACAGCCCTCCACATTCCTCTCTCCTCTCAGGTGGCTGAGAGCAGCATGGACTGGGAGCCAGTCATGCAGGGACTATTCCTAGAGCTGAAGAAGCAACCCTAACCAACCGGTAAAGGTGCATGCTCAGAGATGAAGCGAAGTAAATCTTTATCTTGGGCTTGTGCTTCTCCTGAATTGCAGCATATTTCAAAGGAATAGTGAAAAAGAGGGAGCAGCATACACTGTGTGCACACCATCAATTCTCCTGCAGCTGGGCTACTTGGCCTTCAGGGGCTCCCTGCCCTTTATTCCTGGGGGAATCGGTGCAATGTGCCCAAGCGCCAAGGTGGGAGGCCCATGAGATCAGCAACAGGGACTGCATCTTCACACTCTTTCATGAAAAATCTTGTGCTCTCTGTAAGGATGTGCAGCACTCCTGCTCGGTGTAGCCTCTTAGACTAGCACAGGAATGTATTTCCACAGGGAGGACTGGACTCTGGACAAACTTCTTACATTCTGTTGCTAAAAGATACAATATTTACACAAAAGAAACAGCTTTGTTTTCAGCTCTCTCATCACAATACAGAACTAGAGTTTTTGAAGAAAACTTTCCTTTATCTTCTCAAATTGAAGGTAGAGTCAGTTGTAGAGTTTCATGGCAAAAGCTGCTGAATGCGCATCTGAGGTCCCCGGCTCTGCTACCCGAGTCTGCACGCACACAGGCCAGGCCCTGTGCTGGTAAAGCCTGGCCGGCATGCCTTTCTACACTTGTGGCTCTACCAGTCCAACCAAGCTGGGATGGGCCTTGAGGGGCTATTTAGCCTGGCTGCCTACACCACTGCTGCAAACATCACCCAGACCACCCCAAACTTCGGCTCTCTCCTCTGTGGGGACCTGTCCACAGAATCACTCACTAAGTTACTGAACTAGAGAACAGCTCTAGAGCACAAGCACTGCTGGAAAAGCAAGGGGGGAGAAGAAAGCAATCTGTACTGTCCCCGTTTGCTATATTACTAGCTGATACCTGTTCAGCTTCAATTTTACACTCCCCTGAAGCGTGGTGTTCGCTCAGCCTCCCCCTCTGCAGCCTTCGGGTTCCAGCTAACCAGCACATTTGTTTTCCACTGGCAATTGCTGAGCCACTTGTGCTGTGATAGCAGCACTCCAATATTTAATCCTTCTAGTTTAGAAATATGCTGTATAAACTGGTAACCATTTACGTGTGGGGCTATTAATTGTCTTTATGCAGCCAGTAAACATATAGTAGCCTTGATACAGTCACTACTCTTGATAATGGCAACTTGCTGTGAAGAAAAGCACCTGCTTCCTAGCTCCAGAAATTGGAAGCTGTATACAATAATGTTGTTGAAGTGGTTACACTTTAAGTGCCTCTGTTCGTTCACTCTATGCTTTATAAATTGCTCATGACTTATAAAGAGAAAAGTAATTGATTTGGCTTGGTTTATTTATGGGGGCCCAGGCAACATTTTATCGTTTCACTTTTATAGCTTTTTTTGAACTTAAGTCATTTATGTAAGTAGTTTCCAAGTAAAATCTCAGCTAGTTCTAAATTTTTCTTTTTCCAACTCTGACTGCTACCTTCATTTCACTGATGTCTTACAGTGTAAATATGTGGGGTTCTTTTTTTAACAATTCAGACTTTTGTATTTCAGGAATGTGATTGCTGGTGGCTTACTGCACAGTTGGAGGTGTGTGTATTTCCCACCCCCACCCCGGGTGCTTTCCAAGTGGTTTAATAGTGATCTGGTCAAGATGATTCTCTAAGTGAGAAAAGATTTTCAAAATCTGCCTGCAGACCAGCAGCAGAACCGTGCTGCACCATACCATACCACACGAGTGGAATAAATACCAAGGAACACAGCACGCTTCACAAAACTACCAGAAAGAGTCAGGTTTTGACTTTATCCAGAAGCCTCTGGTTTACTTCAGTATCAAAATTTCCAGCAAAACAGACTTATTTTTTGCAACGCTTTTTGATTTAGAGACATGCATTCTGCAAACACATGACTGCTGGATGAGCAAAGACTTGCAAGATGGACTTTGCAGACGCAGGTGCAGCACTCAAGGCTGGGAGCAAGGCGAAGTACAGAAGGATCAGCCAAAATTACCCAGGGCAGCAACAGGAATGAACTTCAAGAGTCTAGAATGTGAGCAACAGAGGGACAAGTTGGAGCCCTTCAGGAATGACCTATGAAGACAAGATCGTCTGGAACCGCCACTGGTCTTGGTACCAGTTTGGACAGAGTAGATACCACAGCAGAACACCTACAGTTGGTCCTTAAAATATGTGCAAAGGCTCCGTAAGATGAGGTTTGTGAGAAGCCTGTATCGATTGGACAAATAAAATAGCTTATCCAACACACCACACTTGCTGATGTTCATACACCACAAGACCAAGTGTTAGAATATGTGGGTTTGTATTTGAGGATCCTACTGCAACTGCCTCATTTCTGATGACATAGAACAGGCAGTGATCTGTGAGAGCCTGGTAGTAGCAGACTCGCTTCCAGGTTCTATCTCTAGAATGAGCTGGCCCTTGTTAGACACAGCCGAGTGTGAAAGTGGATCTTCTGGAAACACACTAGTGCATGTGGCCTCCTCGCTCTGTTCCCCGAGGGACCTTTTATGGGTTTGTTTCTTACTGAAGGATATATACCAAACCTTCCCCTTTCTTAGCCAAACTCATTAAGAAAAGTTACAAAAACCCTTAAAGCGGCACTTTCCAAAGAAGGGACAGAGCCGTGAGTGGGGAGGCAGACAGCCCAGTGACGGCAGGTGGAGGATGTTTGCTAATGAGGTGGTGCTCCTGGTAAATGGGATAATGATTGAGGCTTCTTGGAAGGGAAAAGACAAGTAAAAACTATTGGGAAAATGCCAGCAGAGAGTGATTAAAATGTCTTTTCATTTTACATTAAGAAGTGGCTGAAGGCTGCCAGCCTTGTTTGAATTTAACAGGAGCTTGTCCTTGTTCCACGTTCACGCTGCATTGTGTGAGCCACGGCCGTTGGATCTTGCGAGGGCGGGCGGCCGGGCAGATGACTGGCTACCGCGCTGCACGAGGCAGGCACGAACACCAGGCCTTCTGCTCCCCGTGAGTAACACCGGTGACACAGGGCACGTCGCCGTGCTCCTGCCCGCTGCTGGCTGGGACAGGCAGCCTGCTCCCGCCGGACTGCCGCCCTCGCTCGCCATGAGGATGCCATCCCCACAAAGCCTCGTGTCCTTCCTCTGGCTAAACCTGAGCTGGGCGCAGGCTGCTGTGTTGCCTCGGGGGGTTTCACCAGGCTCCCTTCATCGGGACAGGCATTTAAAAATCCCCGGGGCGCAGAGGTGAGGCGGGTACAGGAGCTGCCTGTCCTCGGGGCAGCCCGGGCGCCTCTCCCCGCAGAGCCGGGGGGGGTCGGTCGGTGTTTGCGGGGTGAGCAGCCACTTGCCCGGGCTCAGCGCTGCCAGCCTGCGCGTCCCCACACGCCCGGCCCGCGGCGCCTGTAAGAGCCGCCGGTCGGGCGTTAAACTGCGAGCGCCTGCGGGCCGCAGAGGTGTCCCCTCTCCCGCCCTCACCCCGCTCTGAACTCCGTCCTCTCAGTTCAGCCGCCCGCGCCTCGGGCCAGGGCGTCCGTCGTCCCCCTCCCCGGGCACCCCCGCAGCCGCGGCCGCCCCAGCGGCCTCCCCCCAACGCTCCGGGCCCCGCAGCGAGAGGCGGCGCTCGGCAGCCCGAAATCCCGCCTCGGCCGCGGGCCCGCGGGGCCGGGCCGCCGGCAGGGAGCCGGGCCGCCGGCAGGTGGCACCGCCGCCGCGCCGCCCGCGGGGCCCGGCCGCCCCAGGCTGGGGGGGGGCACCGGGCCGGACAGCCCCGGTCACCGTTTGCCCCAGCCGAGGCCGTAACGCTTCGCTCCGCGGCTTCGGATGAGCGTTGCGGTCAGCGACGCTGAACTCTTGAGCGAGTCGGTACTTGACGCCGGTGCTTGAGGGAGCGCCCAGAAAACGATCGCGCGGGCTGCCGGCCGCTGCCGCTTTCCCAAGAGGAGCTGCTCCCGCACCAGCTCCTCGCTGCTGGCGCAGGGCTTGGGTGCCTGGCTCGCACCTCCAGGCTGGCGGGGTTACAGAGGAGTCCCGCGGCCCGGCACTGCCGGCCGTGAGCCCGTAGCGCTCCCCTACCACGCTGCACAAGCGCCTTCACCAAAAGCCTTTAGCAGCCGCGTTTCTCCCCCTCACAGACACCCCGCTGGGGGTGTTAGAGCTGTCCTGACCCAACCCGCTTCCCACGCGGGCAGTGCTAATCCCAGTTCGGGGACAGTGGCTGTGGTTGACATAAACCACGCTCCTCCATCCAGAAGCACATGAAAAGGGCAAAACCGGCCTTTGGCCGTGAGAACAGGAGTGGCCCCTCAGGGAGCGTGGCCCAGGGGACACGGGAGAGGGACTGCCCTCTCTGCTGGTGCCGGCGCCTCAGCAGGGGCGGTTTTGGGGCCGCACCTTTTCCCTGCCAGCTGATTATCTGATAGTCGGTCTAAGCAAGCTAGTGCTGAGGTTCCATCCCTGCGGCAGCTCAGGGAGTGACTCCCTGGCACACACAAGCTTGGGTTTGCGGCTCTCCCTGCTCGGGGACAGGCGTGGGGAGCACGGCCGCCCTCACCCTCGGGACCCAGCAGTTTGGGCCGGCCAGGCTGCGGCTGTGCAAGGAGCACACCCCCAAGGGAATCCGTGATGGCTGCGTGTCTGTGGGTATGAGTAAGGTAGATCCACGCCGCCCTCCACCCAGCCCCATCAGCCATGAACACACACACACACACACACACACACGTCTAGTGGCTCTTTCTTTTCTACTCCAGCAAAATAATTGGCACATTGACTAGAGGAGCAGTGGCTCGCAGCTGGCACAGATCAGCCACGGCTCGCTGGCCCCAGCCGCTTCACTTTGAATCCACTCACTTACTGTTGTCTCTTCCTTCCCCCCCCCTTTCCTCCCGGAGCCTCACAAAGAGAGCTGGCAGGGCCACTCGCCAGCCCGGCGGGCACCGCTCACCTTGCCAAACGGGGCCCCCTCCGTGCCCCCCCCCCCCCAGCCGCCCCCCCAGCTGCTTCGCCCCCTGTCACCATTGTGTGTGCTTGCCTTTGAAATTGGCAGGAGACATCAGCTACGCTCAGATGATGAAAACAGAGGGAGAAGCACCTGCTAGCGTTTAGGGCTTGGGTTTAGAGCAGTGCTTGTGCTGAATACATACACCCTTATTTAGGTTCTTGCAGACAGAAGAGTTGGAGAGGGGCTTTTATTCCACTGCCGAAATATTCAGCCAGATCACAGCGCGGCAGTTTTCAGAGAAACCTCCTTCCCTCCCCCCCACCCCCCAAAAAAACCCCACTGTTTTGAAGCAGTTTATGTGCTGAATACTCAAGTGTTTTTTACCTTGCAATGGGAACACTGTTAGGAAGGGCTGAATGGACTAACCAAGAGCAGCTTTCTTGGCCTGTTACACCAGTGACAGCGTGTGTTGTCACCTGCATGTCTCTTGAAAGCAATTTGGGACCACAAGAAGTTCAAACTGTAAGACACATTTCATACCTAGGAGGTGACAGGTAGTCTCTAACATGAAGTGAGAAATGAAGGGCATTTTTCCAGGACATGGGAACTAACAGAGTGAGGGTAAACTACTTGTGCTGGATGGTTGTTGGCAGTTCACTCATTTTCAAGGCATAGACCTAAATGAGTGACCGAAACCAAGCTTGGCCTTTCTTCTCTCTCACTTGTTATGACTTTTTTCGTGGGGTTTATTACTCTATATATAGAAGGGGGAGGGAGGTTGGTCTTGCACATTTGGCCTGAAGCAAGTAGTGGTTATGAGCCCTGTTCCAAACCAGGCAGCAGCCCAGGGCTGCCTGTGCACAGGGAGCTAGTAACGACATGAGGTGCAGCATGGTGTCACACAGATGTAGCAGTGGGTCTGATGGCAGTGCTGACGCATTTGCCTGGCATTGCACCTGAGCTAATAAGGTCTGGGGTTGTTAGCTTGGGCACAGCACTGCACTGACATCAGGGAACCTGCACTGGCTCCCAGCCTGCCAACTGGGATGCCTTTGGGCTGTTTCCCCTGATTGCTGTGCTGGGTAAGCACAGACTACTTGAGGGCCAGGACAGCTACATCATTCAAAGCCTCCCTTCCTCACTTTTTGTAGCACTTACCAAAGCTGAAGCCCTAGTAGTTCTCAGCTTTTGCTCCTGCCTACAAGAGGAGATGACCAGGAATAGGTAAGCTAAGGGAGGGCACAGAAGCACCTATAAATGGCTTTTTCACTATGACCACTGCAATGCCCTGCCTGCCCCACTCTTCCTTTTGTCCATTTTCAGCCTTCAGACTTGCAGAGCATCTTGCACCTGAATCCACCTCATAGCTCTGCACAGGGACTAAGAGGGGGTTCTGGGGAAGCAATCACCACTGCTCAGATTTATAGTCAGCAGATGTCTACTTGGTTCAGCCGCTGGATTCTAGGATTGGAGTCACCTCATCCAAAAGGAAGCAGGTATATCAAGTCAGGTGAATTGTATCCAAAAGGTTTTTCCTCTCCCTGCTGACTGGAAAGGATCTTGGGGTGTATGGCTCCACTATAGACTGAGGGGAGAAGAATCTCACTGTTGCAGTCTAGAAGTGCTTAAGTTTTCCCAGTAACCCAGGGCTCTGCTCAGGAGGTCTGCCCTGAGCCCTTGATATTGCAGCAGGACTCCTCACCTTCCTGCCTAGAGCTGTGCGGGAGCTTGGGGCCCTCCTCCCCTCCCCGAGGGACTGCAAGGCACAAGAGTCTCCACTAATGATCTCTACACAAGGCACACCAGACCTGGCTGCTGTGAGGCTGGTGGAGGCAGCACTAGCTTGTATTTACCCCGTAATACTATAATTGGAGCTATGGAGAGATTTGGGGTTGGTGTCTGGCCTGAAGGGCTGCAGAGCTTTTATCTTCTAGGTCATCTCTCTGAGCATCCGATGCCAGCCTGCTGGGGCAGGGGGAGAGCAGAGGGGACCAGGATGAAGCAGGGGGAGCTTGGGCAGGTGACTCCCATGTCGTCTATCAGTCACTTCAGCGTGAGGAGGTCACGTCACATCAGCCATGCCGTGGAGCTGGCTCTGCCTGCGCAGG